TCAATGGTCTGGTATAGGCTGGGCAAGTCTTCTCTCATCTCTGGGCCTTGTTTTCCCATCTGTGACTTGAGGCACCTGAGACTGTGCAGTGAGTCCAGGATGTTGGGGCCTGCTGGTCTCTCAGCCAAATTCCAAGCTCCAGGCATGTTCTGAGCCTGAGAAGCTGAGGCTGAGCTCACAGGAGCATCTGGTCACTTCTGAGCAGCTGGACGCTTAGCAAAAGGCCGGGCTGGGGGTCTGCAGACCCTCCCCTGAGAGTGAACCCCGGGTGACCCTGGCAGGTTAATTAACTTTGTGAGTCCCAGTGTCATTGTTTTAACCTCTACGACGGGAGTATCATCTGCTGCTGCAGGAGCTCAGGACATAGCATCATGAATTTAAGATTATTCTTGTAAGGGCCAGCCCTGGCTCACTTTGGAGAGTGTGGTGCTGACAACACCAAGTCAAGGGTTAAGATCCCCTTACCGGCCATCTTTAAAAAAAAAAAAAGATTATTCTTGTTACTACTGTGGGACAGTGGTTCTTCCCTGATGGGGAAGGTGGTGACAAGGTGGGTTCCAGATAGCGTCTGTGAGCCCTGCCCTGCCCTATCGGGCCCAGACCATGTGGCAGGACTGATAGGCCCAGCATCCACATGGCCTCCTGCCCCACCCAGGGGGATCCGGGCTGGGAGAAAGGCTGGAGGTTTTTGTTTCCAAAAATCTTCCTAACTTCAAAAAAGCAGGCTATGAAACAGAGTTATTTAAATTTAAAATGAAGGGCTGGCCAGTGAGCTCAGTTGCTTAGAACGTGGTGCTGATAACACCCAGGTCAAGGGTTCGGATCCCCAAAGTGGCCAGCTGCCAACGTAAATAAATAAAATAAATGTAAAATGAGGAGGTCTTAGCGGTGTGGGTCTTAGCTCACCCTCCAGTGCGGGGGGCTGGCCTTGGAGCCTCACTGGCAGGAGTGATGTGAGAGCTCAGAGCTAGGACTGCACTTTGAGACTGTCTGCTCTGAATCCTGTTACTGGTGGGGAAACTGAGGTCCAAAGTAGGGCCCACTGACCCCTCAGGGCAGGTGTGACAGTGAGCTGTCATTGCTACAACAGCTGGTGTGGTCAACAAACGTGGACATTGAGGTGCTGCCAGTGAGGGTGGCGCTGGGATTCAGACCACTGCACTCTCCAGTCCAGTGCTAGACACTCTTTTTTTTTTTTTCCTTTTTGTCTTTTTTCGTGACCGGCAACGGATCGCAACCCTCAGTGTTGTGCCCGTACCGGACCGGGACCGGCAACGGGATCGCAACCCTCGGTGTTGCGCCCGCACCTCTCTCAGCCAGTGAGTGGCCGGTCTGTATGTGGGATTCGAACCCTTGGCGGGAGCGCCACTGCGCTCCCAAGCAGCGCACTGTAGCAGTGCGCCACCGGGCCAGCCCATAGACAGTCTTTATGTGAGTCCTGCGAGGACAGCCTGGGGAAGGACGTGCCCAGGGCCTCCCTGGGCTTGTATCATGATGATCTCTCTGTACTTTTCATTGATGCCAACGCTCATTACTATCAACTATAAAGTTAGAAACATAAACAGTAAATGTTCTTGTGAAGGTTACCAGCAGGAAGGCAGCCCTGAGGGAGTAACTGGGGGAATGGTGGGCTCCTCCAAGTCTGGGCCTTCTCCTAGCCCAGAGATGACCAGCCTGGAGTCCCAAGGTCCTGCCCAACAGAGCAGCAGCATGACCAGGGAGTTAGAGGAGGAAGGCCTGAGCCACAGTCCTGGTCCATGCATCTGGTCACCTACAGACTCCTGGTACTCCTGTGTGGAGGCCCTTGTTACCACAGCTGGCCACCCTCCCAGGCACTGGGCTCACCTACCCCCATCTGCTCCATCCTCCCAGCCTTACCCCTGCTTCTAAACACTCATTTCCATTCCAGGGACACTGCTGGGAAGTGTGAGAGAATTCACAAACCTTTTGATTATATATAAAATCAAAACAAGACTGGGATAAATGTTTGCAAAATCTGTAACAGAGGGTAACTATCCCTCACAAACAAAGAACACATCCAAACAGCAGAGAAGGACAAACAACCCACAAGGAAAACAGGAAGGCAATTCTCAGACACTGGCAAAGAGCCAAGTGATAAGTTCTGTCTGTCAGTAATAATCATAGAAATGCAACATAAAATAAGACACCATTTTCCTTTTTGGAAATTTTGGAAGAAATTCAACTAAAATCAATACTACTTATTTCCTAATCTTAAACTAAAATCAGTGCAGCCCTGTGCCAGGCAATGCATGTATTGGTAGAGTTGGAGACATTTCAAATGTGTGTACCCTTCACTCTGGTGGGGTCAATCCACAAATCTGTCCTGCAAAATACATGTTCATGTCAGTGCAAGAGGGCTACTTAAGAAGGAGCAAGATGATTTTTTTTCTTTTTTTTTTTAAAGATGACCGGTAAGGGGATCTTAACCCTTGGCTTGATGTTGTCAGCACCACGGTCAGTCGGTGAGCAAACGGGCCATCCCTATATAGGATCTGAACCCGTGGTCTTGGTGTTATCAGCACCACACTCTCCCAAGTGAGCCACGGGCTGGCCCTGACAAGATGATTTTGGAGATGAAGCCTGCAGGCACGTACCATTCACATCAATATTTGAGGAAAACAATAATCTTGTCTGTGCCCTAATTGAAGAATACTGACAATTAACAGCAGAAACAACGGCCAACACCGTGGACATCTAATGGGTTCAGCTTACACAAGTCTGATTGAAAAATTAAAGTTGAGCAAACTTTCTGCTCGATGGGCACCAAAACAGTTTCTCCCAGATCAGCTGCAGACAAGAGCAAAGCTTTCCATGGAAATTTTAAACAAGTGGGATCAAGATCCTGAAGCATTTATTCAAGAATTGTAACAGGAGATGAAACATGGCTTTACCAGTACGATCCTAAAGAAAAAGCCATGGCTACCAAGAGATGGAAGTGGTCCATTCAGAGCAAAAGCAGACTGGTCAAGAGTGAAGGTCATGGCAACAGTCTTTTTGGGATGCTCAAGGAATTTTGCTTCTTGACTTTCTGGAGGGCCAATGAACAATAACGTTTGCTTATTACGAGAGTGTTTTGAAAAAGGTAGCCAAAGCTTTAGCAGAAAAACGCCCAGGAAAGCTTCACCAGAGAGTCCTTCTCCACCACGGCAATGCTCCTGCTCATTCCTCTAATTAAACAAGGGCAATTTTGTGAGAGTTTCAATGGGAAATTTTTAGGCATCTACCTTACAGTCCTGACTTGCCTCCTCCTGACTTCTTTTTGTTTCCTAATATTAAAAAATCTTTAAAGGGCATCCATTATTCTTCAGTTAATAGGCATTCTTTTTCTTCAGTAAAAAAGACTGCATTGACATGGTTAAATTCCCAGGACCCTCAGTTCTTTAGGGATGGACTACATGGCTGGTACCATCGCTTACAAAAGTGTGTTAAACTTGATGGAGCTTATGTTGAGAAATGAAATGTATATATTTTATTTTTATCTCTTGACTGCATTTTCCACCAACTTTTTGGAGTCCCCTTGTACCAGTGCTTTATTCCTTTTTATGGCTGAATAGTTTTCCATCATTTGGATTATACTGTATTTTATTCACCGATTCATCAGTTGATTACATTTGGGTTGTTTCCACTTAGGGGCTATTATAAATAATGTTACTAAGAACTTACAAGTTTTTGTGCGAAGGTATGTTTTCATTTCTCTTGGCTATATATGGAAAAGGGGAATTGCTGAGTTATAAGTTAATTCTGTTCAGTCTTTTGAGAGCTGCCAAACTGTTTTCCTAAATGACATTGCTACTGGATACTATACTGTATAAAGATTCCAGTTTCTCCACATCCTTGCTGACACGTGTTATCTTTTTGTTTCGATTATTGCCATTCTGGTGGGTGTGATGTGGCATCTCCCTGATGACTAATAATGTTGACCATCTTTTCATGTGCTTATTGGCAATTTGTATGTATTTTTTTGAGAAATATCTATTCATATCCTTTGCCCATTTTTCAATTGGTTACTTGTCTTTTTATTGTTGAGGTTTTTTCCTATATTCTGGATACTATTCCCTTATCGGATACATGACTTGCATATATTTTCTCCTATACTGTGGGTGGTCTTTCTATTTTCTTGGCGATGTTCTTCAAAACACTGAAGTTTTTAATCTGAAGAAATCCAATTCATTTCTTCTTTAGTGGCTTGTGCATTTGGTGTCATGTCTAAAAAATCATTGCCTAATCCAAGGTCATAAAGGTCCTACCCCTATACTTGCCTTTAAGAGTTTTATAGCTTTAGCTCTTACATTTTAGGTCTGATTTCTTGAAGTGATTTCTTTTTTACTCTTTTTACTTTTAATTTTTTATTTGTTATGCTTTTTTTTTTTTTTTTTTTTTTTTTTTTTTTTTTTTTTTTTTTTTTCCGGCAACGGATCACAACCCTCAGTGTTGCCCCCGTACCGGACCGGGGACCGGCAACGGGACTGCAACCCTCGGCGTTGCTCCCCCGCCCCGCTCAGCCAGTGAGCGGGAGCCGGTCTGTATGTGGGATCCGAACCCTCGGGCGGCAGCGCTGCCGCGCCTCCCAAGCGGCGCACTATCCAGTGCGCCACTGGGCCGGCCCATATTTGTTATGCTTTTAAGCTTGAACTTTCTGCCCAAAGCAAGTGTTACTTTTATAATGAAGAAACCAACATTTGTTTTTATTTGTTTCCCTTTTCCATTTTTTCTCTGTGGCAGAAACCAACGCTTAAACCAACGCTGCCTCGAACCCGATCCCTTCGATTCCCATCCCCACGGCTGGGGGAATCCTTTCGCCCCACGCCGGAAGCGGAGAAGGCCCCGCCCCGCACCTGCGCACATGGCCGCCTGCGCCTGCGCAGATGCTTCCGGCCCTCGCTCTAACGCCCTCAGCCCCTCTTCCAACGCCTTCATCCCCTCTTACTGGCCGCGTCGCGAAAGTGTCGCGAGACCGTGGGTTCCCGTGGTGCTGAGACTGTCGCTCCGCCTCCTTGAGCCTCGCCCCCTGCGTCCTTCTCAGGTCCCTGCGCCCCCGGCCCGGCCGGCCCTCCTCAATCCCCTACGCCCCCGGCCCGGTCCCCCGGCAGGATGGGGGACAACACCAGCCCCATCAGCGTGATTCTGGTGAGCTCGGGGAGCAGGGGCAATAAGCTGCTGTTCAGGTACCCCTTCCAGAGAAGCCAGGAGCACCCGGCGTCCCAGACAAGTAAGTGGGCGCCGGCGGCCGGGCTGGGCGCGGTGTCGCTTTTCTTTGTTTCATCCTACAACCCATACCTGCTCCTTACAGTGTTTGGGAAGTATAGAAAAGTGAAAGAAACGGGAAAAATCAGTCCTGACTGAAGCCAACATGTCGTCAGTCTCCAGCCTTTAAAAAAACATGTTAAAATATAAAAACAAAAATGTGTTAAAAGCATAAAAGAATTTATGAATGTGTTCTTGGAAAATAATAAATGCATCTGAAGTTGTCCTTGACCACCTCCCCTGGTTCTGCTCCTCCTGCCCCACCGCAGGGATGGCCCCTGGTAGGGCTGGTCATCGTCCCCCTGAATGTAGGTGAATGTGTATCCGCAGAAAGACAGGATCCTGTATGGGTCCCCGCCCATAAAGGTGGTGCTCTGCAGCGCCCTGCTTTCCACCGAACCCTCTGCCTCGAGCCTGGCGGGTTCGGCACATACCGCGAGAATGCACCCCTTCCCATGGGGACGGCCGGTTAGGTTATGAGTGCTTGGTTTTTAATTTATGTTTTGTTTTAAAGCTATTTTTAAACTTGCTAATATGACACAAAGTGTTAAAGGTAAAAAACGGTTGAGGTTATGAAAAGAAAGTTCTTTCCCACCATTGATACCCCCTCCCCCAAAGTCCTCCAGTTTCCCTTATAGGGGCAACTACTGTTAACATGTTCCTGTGCATCCTTCCAGAACCTTCTGTGTAAATAGAAGCACGTGCACACATTATTTTCCAAGCATAAATGAAAGTACACTCTGCACACTGTGATGCCTCTGTTGTTTTCATTTTCACTTTACGTCTACATCTTGGGTAAAGAATCAGAACCTATGGAGCGGCCTTGTCCTTTTTAATGGCTGCAGTGACTTCCATGAGATGAACATATTGTGATTTATCCATCTAGTCCTCTGTTGATGGGCATTTAAGTTGTTTTCATTTTTTTGCTACTACAACAGTGAGATGTTCTTGCCATATAATCATTTTGCATAATATCTGTAGGTGAAATCCCAGAGTAGGATGGTTGGGTCTAAGGGAGAATGGGCATATTTATATTTAATAGATTAGATATTTCAACGTTTGTTAATCCAGTAGGTGAATTTTAATGTGCATTTATCTTCTGATTCTTACTATTGAAAGTAAGCACGTTTTCCTGTTTCCAGAGCCATTTGGATTTCCTTTTCAGCGAGTGACCTATTTATAATCTTTGACTAATTTTCTCTCAGGTCGTTGATTTTTTTCCTTATACATTTGAAGGGGCTCTTTACATGTTTAAGGTAAAAATAGTCCTTCCTTTGTGACAAAGCCATAAATACTTACTTACCCAGTTTGCCTCTGTGTAGTTCTTGCCAGACAGAGTTTTGATTTTTATGGAGTCAAGTTTTCAACCTAATCTCTTGTGATTTCTGAGTTTTGTTATACATAGAGAGGCCTTCTGCTCTCCAAGATTATTAACAAAAAAAATCTCCCGTGTTTTCCTCTAGAACGTTTATTGTCTCATTTTTAAGTGTGTTTATCTTGGTATAAGGTAGAAGCTCCTCCTAAGAGGTGGTATTTCTTGGGCTTTTGCTGAGAGTTGTGCGTTCAGCGCTTGGTTGGTTGCCTCTGGAGCTCTGTGGAATGGGAGCTGTGACAGGCCAAGACACAGCCACATGGAGCTTACAGCCAGGGATTGGTTGGTTCAAGAGCCACCATAATTTTCTTTTCCATATGGCTGCCTATTTCCAACATCATTTTATTGAATAATTCAAATTTCCTCCACTGGTTGATTCTGCTCCCTTTATCACATACTGAATTCCCATGTTTATTCAGGTCTATTTTTGACCTTTCCTTTTTTTTAAGAAGATGACCGGTAAAGGGATCTTAACCCAAGTGAGCTAACTGGCCACCCCTATATAGGGATCCGAACTTGTGGCCTTGGTGTCATCAGCACCACACTCTCCCGAGTGAGCCATGATCTGGCCCCTATTTTTGACCTTTCTTATCTCTCTAATGATCTAATTATGTGTGGGTCCCACACTTATTCATTACTGTACTTTTGTACTGTGTTTTACTATCAAGTGGGATTAGTCACTTGTCTTTACTTTTCTTTTTCAGCATTATCCTGGCTACTCTTGATTACTCTTCCCTGTAAACTTGAGCATCAACTGTATTAGGCCCCACTCCCAAGGCATTGGTATTTTATTGGAGGTAGCTTTAAATGCGTTGATTAACTGAGAAGAAAAGGTATCTTTATGTTGAATCTTCCCATTCAAGAACATGATATGTCTTTTATTCATTCTTTTCTCCTTTGTTAGCATTTCCGTTTTCTTTATGGGCCTTTTGTATTCTTCTTAGATTCATCTCTCGATTTTTAAACTTTATTACTCTGGTAAAGTATTATTGTTTGTGTATATGAAGGCTTTCGGTGAATGTACACTTTCAAACTGTTTCTTTTGCCTATGCTTTCTCCAGCCAAATTGCCATCATGCACTGAGAGGTTGTGTGCATTTGTGTGTGTGTATGTGTATGCATGGATATATGTGTGTGTGTTTGTGTGTATATATATCTTTTTATAAAACTTAACATAATAGCAAATGCATTTCCCCATGTTGTCATAACTTCTTGGAAACCATCACTATTTTTTTGAAAATTTTTTTATTATGGTAAAATGTATATAACATAAAATTTGCTATTTTTTTTTTCCTTTTTGTCTTTTTTCGTGTCCGGCAACGGATCGCAACCCTCAGTGTCGCGCCCGTACCGGACCGGGACCAGCAACGGGATCGCAACCCTCGGTGCTGCGCCCACACCTCGCTCAGCCAGTGAGCGGCCAGTCTGTATGTGGGATCCGAACCCTCGGCTGGAGCGCCACTGCGCTCCCAAGCAGCGCGCTGTAGCAGTGCGCCACTGGGCCAGCCCAAAATTTGCTATTTTAACCATTTTTAAGTGTATATAATGTAATGGCATTAATTACCCTCACTGTATTGTACAACCATTACCACTGTCTATTTCTAAAACTTTTTATTACGTAAACTGAAACTCTGTAACCATTAAGCAATAACTCCTCAGTTCCCCCTGCCCCAGCCACTTGCTAACCTCTACTTTCTGTCTTAATGAATTTGCCTATCCTAGATATTTCATATAAGGTAGAGTGCAGCCTTATAACACCAAGGTCACAGGTTCAAATCCCCATACCGTCCAGCCACCAAAAAAGAAAAAAAGAAAAAGGATATAATATATGTATATACACATACATACATATAAAAAAAAGATATTTCATGTAAGTGAAATATTTGTCCTTTTGTGTCTGCTTATTTCATTCAGCATAATGTTTTCAAGGTTCATCCATGTTCATTCCTTTTTATGGCTGAAAAATATTCCATTGTATGGATAGACCACATTTTGGAAACCATGGATTTTAATGGCTCCATAATCCTCCTGTATGTTGGGGGATCCTGCTTTCTTAGCCATTTTCCCCTTTTTGCCCTCACTCAGATAAGCCACGGAGCAGATATGCTGTTAACAACACGGGCGATCATGCTGACGACCAGGATGGGGACTCCAGGTAAGGGCTCTGTTGTGACTCCAGTATGGGGCTGGTACTGCTCCCAGGCCTGGACAAAGCTCTACCCTCCTGTTGACCCAGATGTTTTCTCCCCTGAGAAATCTGGCATCCATTTAGAGGGTGGTTTGGGGTAGCACAGAGCTGGGGGATCGCATTGCCAGTTTCTGGCTTGCTGAATAATTTGGGTGCATGTTCTAGTTTTGGGATATGTGGTTGGTAAAGCAGGTCCCAGAATGGATGAGGCCATGTCCATATAGGGTGTTTATCTACACGAGAGGAATGTAGAGGAAAGCAGACCCTCATACTGTCCTTGGACCTAATTCCTCAAGCAGATGATCAGGTGTAGCATAGCCTGGCCAGATGCCTTCCAGTTAGCCAGGCTCAGGTGGCGATGGGCAGCAGGGCTGAGAGCGGGGGCTGGTCTGACCCTTGATGGTCTTTTAGAAACAGATGAAAAGTGGGTCCTATTCCTTCCTGTGTTTTCTTTGAGCCCTTCTATCTCTGAGAGACACTCTCAGGGTATAAACCTCAGAAATAATCACTTCTGCCATCTTATGTTCATTTTAGAGCTTAGTAAATGGTAACATACGCCCAGGTGGAGGAAGGAATATTGTAAGTTACCTGCCCTGAGTTCCCCTGAACGCAGATGGTGCCAGCGTGGGGTAAAGGACTCAGCCTCCACTGTCCCAGGAGAAAGTAGAGATCCCCAAGTTAGACCTTTGCCGTGCAGTGAGTTAGTGCTATTTCCCTCCAGTTCTCTGACAAGGGACCATACCTACCCTAATGATTTGCAGTTCCAAGAATGTGATTTTCATATTCTTTTGAGGATGTTGGAGCCTTTGGCATGACCAATGATTGTCCTCAAGAGGAGTGGCCTTTCGAAGAGGGACCAGCAGGTGGGGTTGTGTGGGGACATCCCAGGGGACAATCTTCTTGATGTCAAGGCCTGTGTTTGTAACTGTCCTTTAAAGGTGGTGGCTTGGAACAAATTCTTGTTTGTTTTAGGCACATAGGAAACTTTTGCCCCTGCATACTGGACAGGTATGTCTTGTCCTTCACCTGTGCAGCAGATCAGCTTAGAGCAGGGCTGTCTGTCTCTTCCTGCCCCTGCCGCCAGCATTCTCCTTCCTCTGAGCTCTAGTGGACATGAGGCCCAGGCTTCCAAAGACTCAGAGCTCTTGGAATAATCTGTGCAGAGGGATGTCCTAGGAATGCCAGCAGCAGCTAATTTCTGCAGTTGCCTTTCAGACTTATAATGAAGTGACCACGAGGATGTTTTCTAAGGAATTAATTCAATATTTAACATAAGGAAGAAGGAAATCTATGGGAGGGGAATGGGTCTCTCTAGAATCTTTTATCAAATTTAAGAATGCTTAATTTGGTGATTCTAGCACATCAAAGCATCTGTTGATCCTACCATCCATCCCCCATGTTTTCAAGATGCAGACTAGTAGCCTTAGGGTACCAGTTCCCCTCCTGCTTTATTTTGTCACATGGGCTGCTCTTACCCTGTCATAGCTCAGAGTATCTTCCTAGACAGTGCAGTGAAGGTACATTAAACCCATTTGCTGTGTCTTTCTTGATTGTGGTTCTCCAAGGTGCTTTTCTTTCTGGAACAAGTGGATCGTTCCTGCTTGTCCGTTTGTTGGATTGTTAACAATGTTAACAGGCTATGTTAATTTTTGAGTAGTTGTGGCCTGCCTTAGAGAAGGGAGGATACAGAGCTGTGCTGTCCAGTATTGTAGCCACTGGCCAGTGTGACCATTTAAATTGAAATGGGGCTGGCCAGTTGGCTCAGTTGGTTACAGCAAGGTGTTACAACACTAGGGTCAGGGGTTTGGATCCCCGTACTGGCCAGCTGACCCCCCCCACCAAAAAAATTGAAATAAACTGAAATAAAATTAAAAATTCAGTTCCTCAGTTGCACTAGCCACATTTCAGGTGCCCAATGGCCACATGAGACTAGTGGCTACTGTATTAAATGGTGTAGATTTGACCATTTCCATTACTGTAGAAAGTTCTGTTGGATAGTGCTGACTTAGAGAATGGGCTGCATCTTCAGGATGTGTTTCAGGGCATAGGAATTAGCTCTTACTTTTTTTTTTTTATAACCCTTTTCTAGAATTCAGTAAAGAGAAAAGAAAATGGATATTGTTCAGTGTCTCTAAGACTTAAAATTTAAGGGCAGCAAAGTCGTAGTGTTTTTGCTGGTTGGGTGTTTGGGGCCGGAGTACTTGTGCTTAAATGCACCCTGTGTCTTCCACACTGGTAGGGGCAAAAGCCATTGAGAGAGGCCTGAGAGAAAACCTGGTGTCGATCAGAAAAGCTGACATCAGGGCCGAGCCGTGGCGCACTCTGGAGAGTGCGGCGCTGGGAGCGCAGCGTCGCTCCCGCCGCGGGTTCGGATCCTATATAGGAATGGCCGGTGCGCTCACTGGCTGAGCGTGGTGTGGGTGACACCATGCCAAGGGTTGCGGTCCCCTTACCGGTCACAAAAAAGACAAAAAAAAAAAAAAGAAAAGCTGACATCAGTACATCACCCTCACGTAGACAGCTGTTTTCTAGTCTCCCTTTGAGATTGCAAGCAGTGCTCTGGCCACTGCCTCAGAGAATGGGGAGCTAGAGGCTTAGAGAAGAGTCAATTTCTTTGAGTGTCAAAATGACTGAGATCATTTTACTTTAGGCACAATCCAGAAGACCTCAGAGCTGTAATAGTTTTCCATCTGCCCTTTAACTAACTCGGGTGCCACCATGGCCTGTGGAATCAGGTGGCACCACTCCCCTCCTCAGGCTTGGCTGCTTTTCTTGCAGCAGTGGGCCCAGCTGCACACACAAGCACCCTCAGCCACGTGGGCCCTCAAGCACGTATGCCTAAGCACTCTCCGACTCACAACACACACGTCCTCTCACCAGGTACACAGGGAGCTCCACCAGGGCCTCTCTTGACAGCTTTGCCTCTACTAGTATGTGTGTTTAGAGCCCTACACTGATGTGTTAGAAAGATGCCCCCTCCTTCCTGTGTTGAGGTCAGTACACAAGAAAGCAGACAGGTGGTATTGTCCCCAAGCTTGGGTATTCCCCACCCACTCCCCAGCCCATTTACACTGCAGGGCAGTGTGCTAGGACAGGTGCAGGCTCCGGGTTCCAGGTCTGACTCTCGCTGTGCGTCCTACAGTGTGTGATCTTGGGCACATTCCTTAGACTGAGCCTTAGTTTCATTGTCTTCTGTAAGATATCCGAGGATGGCATCTTAGATACAGATCCAGATGTCCTGAGAACATCCACATCTTAGTGTTTGCTGATGGCCTTGTCTCCCTCAGAGGGGTAGGCACAAATCCATAAAATGCTCCTGTCAGGACATGGAACATTGCTGGCACTGGAAGCCCTATGTGCTTGCTCCTTTCTCTTTGGAGGTAAAGGGCTTGCATTGTCACTTGTCTAGTTGCAGCGGATAGAGCTCAGAGTCAGATTTGAGCTACTAGGATTTTGACTTTGTGGGTGATCTTGGGAAAGTCCATGAAACATGTTAACACTTTAATACTGTTCAACCTGATGGGCTAAAGCTTGATGAAAAAAGGGGTCTTTTGTTATGTATTTCTCTGGCATGGGTCTTTGGCAGTGTGTGTTCCTTGGTGAGATATGTGGGGAACAGTGGGCTGGGAAGGAGGCCTGTGGGCTTGACAGATAGTTTATAGCAGGACTCCCACACTGTTTCTACTCCCTGGGCTCAGGTCTCCTTTCTGTTTCCAGGATACTTGAAAAGCAGCATGCCCCAGAACAAAAATCTCTGCATAGGAGCATAAATTCTTAAACTCTTTTTACAAAACTCGATTCAGATAGTACAGAGGCCCCACATGTTTTCTGACACAAGTGTATATGGATCCACCATGAGGGCCTCACTGCCCAAGGCAGAGAGGCTCTGGGAGGTCAGCTGTTCAGGCAGTCACAGTATCTCAGGAGTTGGGGCTGATGATATTCATGTGACGCTCCACAGTTTTCAGATGGCTTTTACCCATGGGGATCTTATTTGATCCTGTGCAGATAGTTTCTCATGATACAGGTGAGAACCTGTTCTTGGGAAGATTAGATGCTTTGCACTGTTGTCCAGCTAATACATATGGTGCTGACCCAGGTCTTCCAGCCTTGTTCTTGCCCCTGAAAAGTCATTTCCACTCAGCCGGTATTTACGTGTGAGAACTTGAGCTTTAGTGAGAATACCCTGTGGCAAGTGTGCAACATGGGGACTGTCTATATACTCTTTCTTGTCCGGTAAGTTGCTTGGCCTTGACACTCAGAAGCTAGTGCTTAATGCTGGCATTTCTGTTAGACTTTAATACTGTTTTTATAAAACAACCTTGTAACTTCTCATGATTTTTAGAAAACAATATGTTTTCGTTTGGTCTTGATGGTCCTCTTCCCATTTCAGTGAGCCATGTCCTCCAACCGATGAACAGTTGGCTGCAGGCTAAGACCAAGACCTCTCCACAGTCTTTCTGTCTTGATTCCAGCTGCCTCTCTCCTTGTAATTGTGCTTCATTCCTGATTTCCCTCAATGTTGAAGAATGACTAACCAGGCACACAGCCCTGGCTTGGACCTTACTACCCCAGGCATCCATGAATGCCCAGACTGCCCCATGGCCCCTGACTTTTCTCCAACCAGAGTTATTTGGCTCTTTCACATTACCCGAGAGACCAAGGCATGGTTGGCTTGCTCCAGGGAGACTTGTGATACCCCACGTGCCACTGCAGCTCTTCTCCCCCAGGTAGGACTGGTCCTCCTGTGTGGGTGGTGGGCAAGCAGGAGTGTTATTTTTCATCCCCTTCGCCCACTGTCACCCTAGAGAGGCCTGTGATCATTGCTCCTTTTTCTTCATTTTTTCGGAGGGTTTAGTGGGTCCTTATCCAGTGGTCAGGTGTTAAGTGTGATGCTCTGGCTTAGACACTATTGGATGTGCTCAGTAGAGGCAAAAATATTCCCATGAAGTTGATATGATGCTTGTCTAGAAGGGCGAGGATGAGGTAGGACTCCCCCGTCCCCTGGCAGTGCATCCCTTCTGGGCCCTGGAAGTGCACACAGCGTCTGTGAGGCCCCAGCAAGGAGGTGGGTGGGAGAGCAGAGTCTAGTTCCCTTCTGGGCTGTCCCCACCCTCCCTTTTTGTGGCCAAGCTAGAAAACAAGCCCTGCTGCAGAATGTCTCAGCAGGACTAGAAGGTCCTGGCCAGTTTTCCAGCTGGGCTGGTTTGTCTTCCTAGATGTTTTTTTCTTAAATTTCCAAGTTATTCCAGGAATCTTTAGTTTTTGTAACATTTGTTTTATTGTGTTGCAATACATTTATCAGCTTTCCACCATCAAAACAAGGGAAAAAGATTTTTGTGTATTTTGGAAACAAATATTGTCACTTGTTTGTGGTTCAGTTTGCTATTTATAAGTTATGCCCCCTCCACAATCTCATGATAAAACTCTGTGTCTTGGGGCCGGCCCGGTGGCGCACTCGGTAGAGTGCGGCACTTGGGAGCACGGCAGCACTCCTGCCGAGGGTTTGGATCCCATATAGAGACCGGTCCACTCACTGGTTGAGCGCGGTGCGGGCGCGACACCGAGGGTTGCGATCCCATTGCCGGTCGTGGTACGGGCGCGACACTGGGGGTTGCGATCCCGTTACCGGTCACGAAAAAAGACAAAAAGGGAAAAAAAAAAAAAAAAACCCTCTGTGTCTTGTACGTATTATATCACCAGATACACTATATAAAGTGTAAAGCCACTCAGGCATTTCTTCATCATAAATGTATAATATTGAGAGTGGGTTTCTGTATGGGCCATGTTTGCTCAGGTAATCAGAATGGCTAATTACCACCCTGCTGGCCACCCCAGAGGGGCCTCCCTGAAGAGCCATTTAAGGCAGTGTAGCTTTTAACTTTAGCAGCACACACTGCCCAGTTTGCCCTCTCTGTAGACCCTGGCCTCTAGGGGGAAAGACCTTTCTAATTTGGTTCTCCCCGGGGTGTCTTGGGATTTGGGTATTTATAGATGTGAACTAGGCTACCACTGCTTGCCTTTAAGAATCCTAGGACCCATCCCACAGCCAAACTAACTTCCCTGGACTGGTGCCTGAGGGCCAGGGCTGAGGCATGCCTGTGGCTCTTCATGACAGAGCAGCAGTTTTTAGTGGAGATTTGTAGCTATCACAGGAGCAAGTGAGCTTTCTGGAGTTGTGGAGGTTATTTTTCTGTTATCTCTGTGTCCCCTGAGTCACTGGGAGGCAGAGTGGGAGGTGCTGTTTGTTTAGATGGGACACGAAATGTTGGCACTGGGTCAGTTGCAAGAGCAGGAGTGGGTGGTAGGATTTTAATACTCCAAACCCTCCTTTAGCATCAGTGTGTCCCTCAGATGGGAATTACAGGGCAGAGTGAGCCATTTAGAATTTTTGAAGAAAGCATATATTGCCTCTTGTCTAAGACAGTAGAGTCTTCATCTCTGGTTTAATCACTTCAGAGAGCACTATTCCAGGGAGGGAGAAACCTGCGATGAGCGGCCAAGGGTCCTGCATCTCCCAGCATGTCTCTGACAAGATTGGTTTTGGAAGGTCTGACTATGTGAGAGGCAAGGTAGCACACTCTGACCAAAGCCTCCGCATGTGCTTTGTTTGGGGACATAGGGTGACCCAGGATGATTAGAGGATCATGTCAATTCTGGAGGAAGGCTAGAAACCAGCATGAGCGCCCAGGTCTTGGCAGTCCTAGACCCCCACTGGCCTGGGGACACTCGGAAAGAATCCCACAGCTGCTGGTCTTACATTTTGTCTGAATGTTGGTTAACCACAGCAAGGCTCTTGCTCCAGACTGACTCCAGGTCACTCCTCTCTCAGCCACTTCATGTCAGGTCACCTGGAATGAATGGTCTCTTATCCCAGAGTCATTTGCTGTTACAGAGTTGAGCTGCAGCAGCAGTTGAAAGCACACCTTCCATTTTCACCATAAAGTAGAGAAGTTGTGATGTTAGTCTCCTCCTTTCCCTGCCGTAAGGCCTCCAGGAGAGAAGCATGACTCAAGACTCACACTGGGATGTCTGTCCTTGATGGTCTTTTCTAGGCTATAGGGGTTGCCTTGCCTGGGGTGGAATATGGCCCTGGGGGACCTGGGGCTGACTTTCCCAAAACAGTGTACCCTTCTGACCCAGCTATTAGAAATGCTTTTTCTGGGTGGAGGGGTAAGCATGGGACTTCTCTGCATTCTAGGTCCAGATCAGACAAGGTGCCTCAGTGTCTCTGGAGTGGAGGCCCTGAGAGCCCTGGGCTCTGAGATAAGAGTCAGTACCGCACCCTCAGCATTTTCCTCCCTGCAGGCGACTCTCCCTTATCCAGACTACCCCCAACCACCAGGCAGGAGGGACCAGGGTTGCCACGTAAGTGTACAGATGCACCTCGAAGAGGGGTGAGCTCTCAGTCACACCACAGGTGCTCCCACCTCTCTGTAGCACCCAGTATGGCGCATCCCTGTGTTCATGTCATTTGGAAATAGCTTTAATCACGGTGGGTCTGCACATATTGCACAAAGTCTCTTCCCTAATAAAAACTGGAAAGTTTAAGTGTTCAGGATCAGGGAAGGGCTGTTAGCACGTTGCACCCACCCCTGAGCGCTGTCACCTTGGCCTTTATATGGCGCTGTGGGGGAGGGGCCATGGTCCTGGGGGAGAAGGGGTGGAACCCTGCAAACCGGAGCACAGTAGGTAGAAGCCCCTCGGGGCAGTGCCAGCTCCAGCTCATCCACCTTTTAAAAGCAAACTGCAACTGTTTCTCTCCTGGATTTCATAAAGCATACCAAGAAATGACACCATGTCGGGCCGGCCCGTGGCTCACTCGGGAGAGTGCGGTGCTGATAACACCAAGGCCACGGGTTCGGATCCCATATAGGGATGGCCGGTTGCTCACTGGCTGAGCGTGGTGCTGACAACACCAAGTCAGGGGTTAAGATCCCCTTACCGGTCATCTTTTAAAAAAAAAAAAAGAAAAAAAAATGACACCATGTGCCTTTAGTCTGTGCTTCTCATGCCTTTTACCTTGTAATTCTGGTGATTTCGCATCCCTAACCTTGGGGATTGCTTCAAAAGGGCAAGTGATAGAAACTTCCATCAGCAGTAGGGGCAAGAGCTACTCCATGAAGCTGCCATTTACTGAGACCCTTCCCCTTTGGAGGCAGTGGGGCTGTGATACTTTAACTTATTTTCATTCTACCTTTTTTAAAAAATTTATTTAAAGGTTTTCCGATGTTATTCTGGCAACAATTTTGGCAACCAAGTCTGAAATGTGTGGTCAAAAATTTGAACTGAAGATTGATAACGTGCGGTTTGTTGGGCATCCGACACTGCTGCAGCATGCTCTGGGGCAGGTATGGCTTCCCTGGACAGGTAGGATTCTCCCTGGGCAGGCACAGCCCTCTTTGGGCAAGTGTGGCTCTTCCAGGGCAGGCAGCCCTGGCGCATTCTGGCTCTGGGGGCCTTGGGGCTATGGCCGACACCAGATAAGTTGAAGTCAACCTTTGGGCAGCAACCCTGATCAGTACTTACTATGAGCTGTGCATCTTCGTAGGCCCTGTGATACAGTGGAGAAAGAGAGGGATGTCCTTGCCCCTAGGTACTTCAGTCCTTGCCCCTAAATTTTGCTATTTGCATTTTGGGTTTCTACTGACTGTCACCTTCCCCTTTATATCTAGGATATCTGTTTCTAGGGAGGTTGAGAGAATTGAGTTAAGCAGCATCTGTTAAACCCTTGAACTTTCTGCAGAGTGGTGCAAACATTTCTTCTTATTTATTCAATGATGTTCTAATAGCCAATATTGTTATTATTTAACACTTACTATTGTGTTGAACCCTCAGTGTGTGTTCTCTGATGAATGAGTTTAGCAAGATGCCATGCCCTGTTACACAAGGGAGCTCTTACACCACAGCTGGCCAGACAGCTCTTTGCACACAGGCAGGAGCAGTGACATAATTACTCAGATTTTGAAGGGTTTCAATTTGACACATAGACTTAGCTCCACTTATACAATCCAGAAATTGTGTGAGGATCTGAGATGTGATTCACAGACCTCCAGGAATAAGCCCATGGAAGGTGCTTCTGAGGAGACTGGATGTGTCTGGCCCCCTGGACAGCACCCTCTTTCCTCACCATGGCCACCACATTTGGGGCTCGGTCCCCTGTCCCTGGGTGATGGAGTGGAGAGTTGGCAGTCATACCCTGTAGAACTGGAATGACAGGCAGGGATGGGGGTGGTTGCTGAGGTGGCGAGGGAGAGCTGGGGCCCAGTACTCCCACTCCCCCTAGTGGCAACACTTGTCGTTGGCTTTGAAGAGCTCCATTGTGCCATTGGAATTCTGCTTTTGAGTGCTTTGGTGCTGGAGCAGGGAGCACAGAGATGAGGACTTGGTTCTGGAGTGAGGTTGGGTGCCCTGCCTCACGTGGGGCCTATTCAGTCCTCTGCTGGCCCTGAAAATTATCTTGTCTCTAAATTGTCTTGAGTATTTGTTCTACTTGTCAGGGGCAGCCTGGGTGGACACAGGTGGACATGGGATGGCAGCAGGGGCATGGGTCTGGGCTCTTCACTTACTTGAGCTCCTCTTCATCCTGTCTCCTCAGCATAGTCAGCTCACTTCTGCTGATGAGGGCAGTCACAGCATTAACCTTCACGTTCTTGTCACAGCTGTGACTCCATCTGTCTGCATAGCAGGCACTCCTTCTAAGCAAAGACACTAATTGCTTCCCAAAGACCCAGGGGGCTCTGTTTTTCTCTGGTTCTGCTATACTCCAGGGCCTTTCCCCATGCCTGAAGTAGAATAGTTCTAAACAGCTGTCCTTGGAAAGTTGTGGCTCTCAGTTTATTAGAATTATGCCTTTTTTACAGGTCTCCAAAACAGACCCTTCTCCAAAGAGGGAAGCACCTACCATGATTCTTTTTAATGTGGTATTTGCATTGAGGGTAAGTGTTCATACAAGTTGTTTAGATCAGGGAGGAGGGTTGGGGGAGAAGCAGCTCATTCCCAGTGAGTGTGTTGTTGACTCACTGTTAAGATTGTGGTAGGGTGTGGTGCTAGCCACTTCTGGGGTGCAGGCAGAGTCTGCCTCATTTATTTTTTTGGTAAAACACACAACAATATTTACCATTTTATGGCTGGCTGGTTAGCTCATTTGGTTAGAGTGCAGCCTTGTAACAACAAGGTTAAGGGTTTAGATCCCCATACTGGCTAGCCACCGAAAACAAAAACCAGTATTTACCATTTTAAACTGTGCAATTCACTGGCATTTAGTACATTCATAATGTTGTGCAACCATTACCACTATGTAGATCCAGAACATTTTCACCATCCCAGAAAGAAACCCCTGTACCCATTAGCAGTTATTCCCCATTCTCCCCCTTCCCTCCAGCCCCTGGAAACACCAGTCTGCTTTCTGTATCTGTGTATTTTCTTCTTCTGTATGTTTCCCATAAATGGGATCATGTAATGCGTGACCTTTTGTGTGTGGCTTCTTTTACTTAGCATGTTTTTGAAGTTCATTTATGTTGTAGCATGTATCAGTACTTTATTCCTTTTTATGGCCAAATAACATTCCATTGTATGAGTAGACCACACTTTGTTTATCCACCTATCCATCGATGGGCATTTGGGTTTTTTTTCATGTTTTTGCTGTTATGAACAATACTGCTATAGACATTTGTGTATAAGTTCTTGTGTGGTCACACGTTTTCATTTCTCTCCATATATATATGGAAATTTGGTCATATGGTAACTCTGTGGTTAATCTTTTGATTGAAATTGGTCATATGAAGAAACACCAAACTGTTTTCCATGGTGGCTGCACTATTTTACATTCTCTCATACATGTATTACATGAACGAGGGTTCCAATTTCTCCACATCTTCACCAACACTTGTTGTTTTCCATTTCTTTGATCAAGCCTAGTTGTTTCTTAAGGCAGTTCCCAGCTATGTCTCAGGTTGTTTTCACTAGTTGCAGGAAGTGCCTTTTCAGTAAATATGTCAAAATATAAGGAACCCAAATAAACAGAAAATGCACCTCTGGGTAAGGACTAGCTTATATTATGAGGGGACATTGAAGTACCTAGGAAATTTATATTCAGTGATTCTTAAATAATAGAATTCCTCTGAAATATCCCTTGATCAATTTTCACCTAAGAATTCAGTAGTTCTTTCTAGCCAGGCACATGCGATCTGCACAACTACTTATGTGTGGAAAGTGGCAGCAAGGAAGTGACTGGATCCCCGGGGCAGGGGGTGGTGTGTGCTTTGAAAACCTTCAGAGAAAGGAAACTTGCAAAATTGGATGCCATTCTGAGTCTCAGACTATTTTTTCCATTGAGGCTTTTTGGGTGTGAAGCACACAGGTCTCACATCAAAAAATGGTTCAACACTAAAATAATGATAGAGAAAAGCTCCTTTTATTTGTTTATTTTTATTTTTTGGCAGCTGGCCAGTGCAGGGATCCAAACCCTTGACCTTGGTGTTACAACACCACACTGTAACCGACTGAGCTAACCAGCCAGGCCAAGAAAAGCTCCTTTTGAATGGGGCTTAATTTTTAAAACTAGCCTACCTTGTTGATAAATAAAGAACTACAAATTAAAACAAAATGATTTGTGAAATTTAAAATGAAAAAAATGATTTTTAATGGTAACTGTCTTTGGGGTTTGAGGTTCCATGAGGAGATCTCCATTTTCTGCTTGACACGCTTCTGTAGTGTTTGCATTTTCACAGTTTCCTTGTGTATCTCGTATAGTTACATAATACAGACAACCACACAGAGAGATAAATTAAGTAAACAAACAAGCAAAGCAATAAGCAAAAGCCATGACAGGTGCTGTGCTCCTGTCAGCACTGATAATGTCCGTGGGACGGGTGGCAAGAAGCAGCCACGGCCCCACCCAGGATGTTACAGGCTGGCCCTCATCTCTGGAGCAGAGTCTGCCAGCAGAATGCTATGATACCCAAAGACCTACTGATCCCACCATTAGAAATATTGTCAAGAAAACAAGCAGCTTTTACAATTGTATAAAGATTTTTATATTATAATAATAATTAAGCTGGAAATAATCCTGGTGTCCAGTAGTTGGAGAATGATTAAACAATGAGATTATTGTTACACTGGCCTATCCTCTGGCCATTAAAGATGAGAAATGGGGACAAGGCCAGAACCTGGAGAAGTACAAATTGATTACTTCAAGATAAAAGCAGCAGGAAACAGGACAGTACAGGACTTTAGCTGGCCATGATGTTGAAGAGTGGGAGAAATTTTAAATAATGTAAAGAGTTGGTATTTTAGGGTGGACAAGTTTTTTTTTTCCTTCTTTTCAGTAGTCATTTAAAAATGTACACTTTTTTAATTTTGAAAGGTTTTAAACAGACCCTGAAATAGAACAGTGACAAACCTTACGCACCCATCTCTGTGATCCCACAGCCATTGCCTTTACACCATGCTACATCTATTTCCTCCCCTCTCTTTGTATTTCCAGTCAAGTTCCAAGACCTCATGTATGTTCATTCCTGCATACTTCAGAAGGCATCTCTGTAAAATATGGACATTTATTTTATGCCATGATACACTTTTCACATCTGACAAAATTTGCCATAATAATTTGGTATCAAATAGTACCTGGTCTATTGAAAGTTTTCCTAATTGCTAAAACATTTTTTCCCAGTTGGCCTGTCTGCAGCAGAATGCAAACCCTGCCCCTTAGTGCATGTGGTATCTCTGCATCTCTGCCAGTCCTGAGCTTTCCCCTCCCTTTGTCCCATTGAATGTTCCACATTTGGTTTCATCTCATTGTGCAGACAGTCAGACTTGCTTTCTGTCCCTCTAATTTCCTGCAGACTGGAAGTTCACTTTGAAGGCCTAGTTACATTTGAGTACAAGTTTTGGAGGTGAGAAGGGCTCCTGGGTGATGCTCTAAACTCCATGCTGCTTCATATCACATAGGGTAAAAGTGTACTGTTTCTGAGAGTTCCCACTTAGGGCTGGCGTATACTAGGTGGTAGCTTTCTCAGTGTGTCCCTCACTTGGTGTCAGGCCTGTGCAAACAGGACACACTGGGACATCCGGGAATCCCGGGTGTGGGTCATTGACCCTCGCCTGGGGCAAGCATCACCAAAGGTCAAGCAAATGGGCCCTGGACATCTGACTTATGGGTGCTGTTGTGCCTCAGCTGGTGGGGCCTCCTGTGAGGGTTGGGCTCTCAGGTGTGGCTAGATTACTTTTTCAAGGGAATAATCATGTGTCCAGGATCATTTTCCTCCTTGCTGCTTTGCTGGTAGGAGTATTTTGACACAGATTCTTCTAAATGTGTATTTTGTTTTGAGGCAATTGTATATCCCTACAAATCAGCCCTCCAGTTCTGGAGACACTATTGAAGGATGCCCTTGACATGGAGGGGCAGGGCTGCTGACCAGTGGTGGGCATGGCATGGGAGCAACACTCAGTCCTCCCCCATAGGGCATGCTGCCATGTTGCAAGCCTGCCCAGATGTGAGTTCTGTTTGTGAACATGGGACCTGCTGAGAGTATAGTGTGTCCAGCTGTGTGAGTCTGTCCAGCTCTAGGTGAAGAAAGTGTTTACTGTCTGGGTCAGGTTTTGGCTGTGAATACTCTTCAAACATGACCCTGCCTGGCAGATAACCAGGAAGGGGAGGCAGCACCAGAGGTTCTAATCAGCGGCACCATTCATCCCTCTCCCTAACCCACCTCTAGCCCCATAGGATGATTCAGCAGCCCTCTTGGTCTCCAGAAGCACTGAGTCATGGTTGGACCAGTTATCTGACCCCTCGAGCCTCTTCACAGACCCCACAGCTACACGCTCCACCCTTGGCCTGGCCATCTGTGGTCCCTGATAGGTTCCAGAGGGTCAAGGACCCTCCTGTTCCTTTGACCAAGTCAGCGTGGGTGCATAGGAAGTGCAGGGCAGGGACGTGGGCCTGGGGCCTGCTGGTGCTCTTGTTAACCAGGTCATTTCTGCTGGGAAGAGCTTCTTATCCCTGAGGACAGAAAGTACTCAGTGAACAGTTAGTACGGCACTTCTGTTACTGTACTGTGCGCCCTGTTATAATTGGCCTATCGTGCCTAAAATTTTACATGTCTTAGGCTAGTCAGCAGTGTTCCCCAGTAGTCAGCAGTACAGTGATGGCTGCAGACACTTACAGGGTTTTTGCTCAGGGCAGGTTCTGTTCTAAGTGCTTTACATGTCTGACTAATTTCCTCCACTCAGTTGCTGGTGAGGGAGGTGCCACTGTTGTCCCTTCTCAGATGAGGACCAGTGGCCCAGGGTCACACAGCAGGCTGGCTGGTGGGATCTGTGCCCTCAGCTACACTCTGCCTTTCTGTATAGCCCTGGCACAGTGGAAATTCCTGTGTCCCCTGCAGAGGACCCCCATGGAGCCATCTCTGTGCTGCCATCCAGGTGGCCATTCCTAAGATAGAGGATGGAGGCTGGCAGCCAGCACTTCTGTGGATGGCCTCTGGAAACTGGGGGTAGCAGTGGCCCTTGGAGAGTAGCCTGGGGAAGAGGAGTGGAGGAGGTTTCTTTCACGGTTTGAGTTTTTTCTGTGCATGGGTATTACTTCCTTTTAAACTCTGTGTCTAGCTGTGTCCCTGTACACATGTTTGAGGCAATGTGTGGCTTTCTCTCTCAGGCCAACGCTGATCCATCGGTGATAAACTGTCTGCACAACCTGTCACGGCGCATCGCCACTGTGCTGCAGCATGAGGAACGCCGCTGCCAGTACCTCACTCGGGAGGCCAAGTTGATCCTGGCGCTCCAGGATGAGGTGTCTGCCATGGCAGATGGTGAGTGCACAGGGTGTGATGGGAACAAGTCTGGGCTGGCTGATGGCCTCTCCCACCCCAATGCCAACAAAGCAGCCAGGAGCTGGCGATAGCACCAGCTTTTGGTGAGCTGAGCATTGGAAAGGGAGTCCACACAACAGCCTTGCAAGGCAGGGACCTTGGTCCATCCCCATTTTGCTGATGTGGAAACTGAGGCTCAGAGGGGTTGCATGATCTTTACACTGGGCTGATTGTGCCCTGAGAGCACAGGATGACTCCCCCAGGGGCACATTTGTAGCTCCACTTTCCTGAATGGATGTGCTGAAATTGATTTCCCAAGCGCAAACATTCTTCCCCACCCTTCACATAGGACAGGCACCTCTGCCCAGCCCTAGTCCTGCGGGACACAATGCCCTCGAGTGGGAGGACCTGGGGAGGGGCCAATGAGAATATCCAGCTGGCAAGGTGGGTGGTTTCCCGTTCTTTGCTTTCAACCAAATTGAAGAGACCATACTGGCCAGCTACAGAAAAAACAAAACAAAAACCAACAACAACAAAACATATCGAAGGAGGACCTAACTAAGTTACTAACTAATTATTAAAAATAAATTTTGCGAGGGCCTGCCTGTGGCTCACTCGGGAGAGTGTGGTGCTGATAACACCAAGGCCACGGGTTCGGATCCTCTATATAGATGGCTGGTTCTCTCACTGGCTGAGTGTGGTGCTGACAACACCAAGCCAAGGGTTAAGATCCCCTTACCGGGCCGGCCCGGTGGCACACCGCGCTGGTGCGCCGCTTGGGAAGCGCGGCGGCGCTCCCGCCGAGGGTTCGGATCCCACATACAGACCGGTTCCTGCTCACTGGCTGAGCGAGGCACGGGGGCAGCGCCGAGGGTTGCGGTCCCGTTGCCGGTCCCGGTCCGGTACGGGGGTGACACTGAGGGTTGCGAACCGTTGCCGGACACGGAAAAAAAAAAAAAAAAAAAAAAAAAAAAAAAAAGATCCCCTTACCAGTCATCTTTAAAAAAAAATAAATAACTTTTCCTGGTAGACTGTTGTGTGTTTTTTGGCATAGTGTAAAGATTTCAAAGCATGGAGGGACACCTGTAATAAGTCTCCACTTCCATTTTCTTGGGTTAGTACCTTCATAACAAAAAGGAGAACTAGGAACAAAATTGAAGTCAGACCTAGTCATTCTACTAACAGGTAAAAGTAGCGATTGTCAGGGCTGGCCAGTTAGCTCAGCTGACTACAGCGCAGCCTTATAACAGCAAGGTCACAGGATTTGGGACCCAGTACCCACCAATCGCCAAAAAAAAAAAAAATAGTAATTGTCATACTCAGTTTAACAGTTAAATAAAGAACAGCCCTGTCTGATTCAGGTAAAATTTGCTTTTTAAGTTTGACAGTTAGCTGCCAAAATTTGTAATATGTTTCTGTTTTGGCCAATTATGTACTAATTATAATTTATATTATGATAATTACAACCCAGAAGTTTTATTTTTTAAAATATTCTCTTTAGTGTCTGACTTTATCACAGGAAGTTAAAAAGCCTCAGTTTAAATATGTATTTTTTGTTAGAGATTTATGAAAAAGGATTAATGAAAGACTTTTCAATCATAAAAATAAATTTCATTAGCATACACGTATGAGGGAGAGGAGTGGGATGTGAGGTGGAAATACCTGGTCACTGAGATGGAAGCCCCCTACGTCTAGCCCTGGTGGTCTGAGGGAGAACCTTTCAGGGAAGGGCGGGTGAAATGCTCTACTCTTGCATTGCCTGTGACTGAAGGTTGTGGGGATGGGGCAGTGGTGAAATTTAAATACAAATATTCCATATAAAGATGGTTGAACAAATCAGCCTAAGTCTAATTTTAATTCAGGTGGATGTACAGATTTTATAAAAAGCAGTGGAGAGTTTCCTGATGTTTGGTTTAAAATTGCTTAGAATTCTTTTTAAGTTAAACTTATTTTATTTTATTTTTTTTAAAAGATGACCAGTAAGGGGATCTCAACCCTTGGCTTGGTGTTGTCAGCACCACGCTCAGCTAGTGAGCAAACCGGCCATCCCTATATAGGATCCGAACCCGTGGCCTTGGTGTTATCAGCACCACACTCTACCGAGTGAGCCACGTGCCGGCCTAAGTTAAACTTATTTTAAAAGGAATTCTCTGTTCTAGCTTTTAAAAGTTTCCTTGCTTTGGAAACTCTAAATCTTTCTATGTTGTGATTCTTGCAGCAAATGAAGGTCCTCAGTCCCCGTTCCATCACATCCTGCCCAAGTGCAAGCTAGCCAGGGACCTCAAGGAAGCTTATGACAGGTAGGACAGCCGGGCACATGCCGAACCTCCATCTGATGAGCTTCTCTGGGGCTTGTGGTCTGAGTGGCATCCACAAGTAGTGCTCCCTTTGCTGAGCACTGTTCTCCTGGTATGCAGGTACTGGAGTTCTACTGAGTTTGGAGCAAGAGAGGGTGGTGAAGGGGTGACCGTGTGGCTGTTCTTGAGAGAAGTGACCTTGGTGGCTGTTTTTTAAATGCCAACCCCTTTGCTGACTGATGTGTGCTCAGCTGAGACAATCACCTCCAGACTCCTCTTAAAACAGACAATAATGTTATACTCTCTTTGTCACCTCTCTCCCCCTGGGTGATGGAGATGCAAAGGATTACTCAAAGCCCATTTCTTCTGAGCAGTGAGAAGCTCTGAAGGGGTTAATTTCCAGGAACCCTCAAGAGAGAGGCATTCCTCCTTGGAAAATTAACCCTGAACTGGGGTTCTGTGTCAGTATTTATTCTCCAGGCCAGAAAGTTACAGAAAAGGAACCCAGGTAGAGTTATGGCTAAGTATAGTTTAACAATAGAGGCTGGTAACATCATTGAAATAACAAAGTGACATTCCATAATGCAATTTGCAAAACATTAAGTCAATCCATCAACAAAAGCTTGTTCTTAGCAAATACTATCTTTTCCTACAGCAGTTTCTTCAGTATTTTTACATAACAATAAAGCAACTTTAGGTTAACCTGCACCAAGGACGTCTGTCCTTGAGCCAGCAATTTTGCTGTGTCACAATTCTTTATCTACATCAGAGACTTTAGCCTGGGGAAAGTTTCCTGTCTTTTGCAAGCTTAACATTTCTATATGTAATTTTATTTTATTTTATTTTTTGTCTTTTTTTCGTGACCGGCAACGGATCGCAACTCTCAGTTTCGCACCCGTACCGGACCGGGACCGGCAACGGGATCTCAACCCTTGGTGTTGCTCCCGCACCTCGCTCAGCCAGTGAGCGGCCGGTCTGTATGTGGGATCCGAACCCTCGGCGGGAGCGCAGCCGCACTCCCAAGCGGCGCACTGTAGCAGTACGCCACCGGGCCGGCCCTATATGTAATTTTAAAAGGTTAGATTATACCTGAAACTATAGGGCTTTGGAAGCTAGGCCCTGTGAAATACATTTGCTTTATAAATGTTAGTATACTCTACACAATAAACCCGAAGTGTTTTTGAATCATCAAACACAAACTGACATTTTACCAAGTTCTGGGCCCACCTTCATTAGGTTGGTGTTGCTGTCCCCACTTCACCTCTGAGGAAACTGAGGCTCGGTGGGTGGAGCTGGGGCTGGCTGTGCTACTCTTCACTCTGGGGGAGTTGGGGTTTGGGACATGGAGAGCATGAAGTCAGCAAGCACTGGGAGCACCACAGAAACCTTGTAGTTCTGATTGCATTGGTGGCTGAGCACCCACTCTACTAAACATGGAAAGGAAAGAAGCCCCATTCTTCTTAAAGGGTGTCTGCCTGACCAATGCTCTGTGACCCTGGGTCCCGGCACCAGCTGTGGCTCCTTCTTGGCCCAATGGGTGCCCAACTGGCAGCTCTGCCTGGCACCTTTGTCTTTCCTCCCTCCATTCACACAATGCTAGTGCCTTGTCACTTACAGCTGAGGGGGCAACACAGCACCAGGCACATTGCAGGGCAGACAGCACATCTGGTGCAGCTTTTCTCCTTGGCACTTGCATGGCCCAGTACCTCTTTGCCTCCCCTGTGACCTCAGGCCTCTTTCCGTGTCTTCCCTCCTTCTCTGCCTTCTCTTTCTCTTTCCTTGTTCTTCTGCTTTTCCATAGTTTTCTGCCATGCGCTCAGCTCAGTGCCCCTGCCCAGTCCTTCTGGGGCTTCGCTTCCTCTTGGTGGACTCCCAGCTCCCTGTGGATTCCCCTTGAGGAAGGCCTGACCTGAGAGCTGTGGCTCGTGAGCTCTTGTGTCTCTGGCTCAGTAGGATGTGAGCAGTGACAGTTCTGTAGGGGATCCTTTCTTTTTCTACAAAAAAAATTTATGTATTTTTTTCTGATTTCACCAATAGTACATGTTCATTATAGACATTTAGGAAACTTGGAAAAGAATAAAGAAAATAAAAGTCATCTATAATCTTGTATGCAGTGATAATCACTACTAATATTTTGGTAATTTTCATTTTCTTAATGTCAGTTTTTGAAAAGCTCACATATTCATTGAGTTTGAAAATCAGAGTGTCTTTCCTGCTGCTCCCTCAGCAGGTCTCCACCCTGGTGGCAAGATGTGTCTAGCAGGCAGCCACGGGTCACCTGTCGTCCCTCACGAATGGCTTAAGGCAAACATGGACCTCCTTTTTTCTTTACACAGTGGTAGCACGCTACACTACACATGCTATTTTGCCCTTTGCTTTCATGATTTAACAGTATGGCTTAGATTTCTGTCTGTATTGTTAAGTATGGACTTTTTCACTCTTTTTTTGGCTGCATAGTTAGCCAGCCCCCTCTCCTGGGCTTTTATTTGTTGGTTCCAGCCTTTTGCTGCTAGAAGATATGCTGCTCAACCATTTGCACATGTTATTTTGCGTGTGTGCCTCTGTTTCCATAAGATAAATCCTAAAAGTGTGGTGAATGGGTAGAATGCATTTGTAATGTTGATGTGCTTCCCTCTGGGGATTTGTACCCCCCACACACCCACTAGCAGCACACAAGACGCCTCTACCCCAGCTCTGCCAACACAGGGACTTGGTGAACTGGATTTTAACCAATATAATAGGTGGAGAAAGGTATCTCAGGCCAGTTCCATCTTAAAACATTTATGCATCTCTTCACATATCTGAACCTTCTGTATTTTCTGTGAACTTTCTGCTCAGATCCTTCATTCTTCTTTTGGGAAACACAGGTGTCAATATAGGAGATAGTTGTCTTTTGTGATACAAATTGCAATATTTTGTTTGTCTCTCGGTGATCTCTGGGTGTGGGTCTTCCCAGGTAATACAGAACATCAGAGCAGCCTCATACAGCCCTTGCCAAGTGATTGCTTTGGTTTCTGGTCTTTCCTGCTTTGGAGAATTCCTTGGTGCAGCCTTAATCCTGACCCAGAATTCGGCCTTTGTTGTCCTGTAGTCTGACCCTGTCTTTGTATTTCTTGTCATCACCCTGATGTTTTCTCTGTGGTGAGAGTCACTGCCCTCCCTTCCTGGGAAATTGTTGTCTTATTCTGAGTAGGAATCTGTGTGCCTCAACTAGAATTAGACAGCAAACAAAAATCAGGCTAACTTGGAATTAAAATAAAAGGCAAACCAATGACTTTATATTTCTAGAGAAAGAATGGACTGTGATCTCTTAGGTCACAATTGTGCTGAAAGCTGGAAGGAAACAAGATTTTGGACTGTGTGTTGCATGATCTGTAGCCGCAGAGCAGCTGAGTTTGAGGTGGCCTAGCGTCATCTAGTGGGCATTAGTTTAAAGGCGGACAGAAAGGGTGGCTCCCAAGGCTGTTGGGCACTGAGCGTGCTTCCCTAGCCCAGGCACTCTGTTAGTGCCCAGGATTGTGTTTCTTCCAGGTGAACTCCCACCCCCTCAAGTCCTGGCCCTGGAGCCTGCTTCTCTGGCTGGAGTCCTGGCGATGGCCTCCTTTCCTGTACCCTCTCCTGCCTGGCGCCAGTACATGTCTGCAGCCTCCCAGGAGTCCCTCCAGCCACTAACCACCCCTGCATCCTCATCCCACCAGGTCCGTGGTTGGCCTGGAGGGCCTGGCCTGCCTCTGTTGCTGCAGTTCACAGTCTGGATCAGGTAGCATAGGACACAGAGCCCCTTTCTCCTGACTTTCTTCCAGTTCCCTGGGAAAGGTTTTCTCAGAGCAGAACTAAAAGACCAGAAGCTGTGAGACTTAATGAGGTTGGAGATTGGGTTGAGCCTTTTCAAAGGAATTGTTCTGGATTTGCTATTTGAATTAAAAGCCAGGGTTATAGTGTGGTTGAGTAGCCTGGTGGTCCTGCCCTCAGGGATAGCATCTGAATATAGGCTGGGAGTGTGAATCCCTCAGGAGGCTGCCTGACTGTCCCAGCACCTCGTCTCCTTATGGAGCTCAGTGACCTCAGTGGTAGCATCTCATGCATTCATGAGACCATTGGGTTGCGTCTCTCAGGAGGGCAGTGAAGTCCCTTCATGTTCTATAACACAGCCCTTGTGCTCAGCATGTGGAGGAGCATGGCTTGTCCACTAGTGGTTGAAGGACTATGTAGACAGGAGTAATAACAATGTAGGTTCCATGGGATGTGAAGAAATGATGTGTTGAGTGTTCTCTGAGTTAATGGGACCTGTGGGGAGGCCTGGGAGGCTCAGAGCTCAGGGGAGGCTGTCCAGGGCACAGCCAGGCAGGTGGCGTTACGTGCAGAACCTCACATTGCTGACTATTCAGCGGGGTTGAGCCCGTGGATGCCTCTGTGAATATCCTGAGAGTTGTAGTCCCTATTTCCATAAGAATGCACCTGTGTATAGACTTCTGTTTGAAATTTCAAGATCTGCCTTTTGGAGCCCACCCAGATCTCTCTGGTCATGCAGCACCCGCTACGAGCTATAGGAAGCGTAGCCCATGTGTGGGACCACAGGATGCAGTGTGTGGGAGGCTTCACAGGTCTCTGTCCTAGGGCAAGATGAAAGATGACTGGAAGGAGACCAGAAAATGACGTTTCAGTTTTTGTCTAAAAGTTAGGAATTGACATTCTTTCTCAGCTGCTGCAGTGTAAGGAGAATAGAATAAGCTTGTACATGTTTCCATTTTAGATGTGAAAGATGAGAGCATGAGTTAAAGGTGGCCACGGCTTTGTGCACAGTCATTGCTTCAGGGCACAGGGCTCTGGCAGGAGCATCTATCTCCTGTTGCAGACGGGGCTGGGCTCTCCTGGCTGGCCCAGAACTATGTGAGGGGCTAGATAAGCCTGGGGTTGGGGGGACATTGTTTTCCTATAGAGCGTTTTCAGACCACACCATTAAACACTTGCAAATCTAAGTACAAGGTTGGCAGGAAACCTTTCAGGGCCCAAACCCTACTCTGCTAAGGGGTCTCGTCTTTAAAAACAGAGACAAACCTTTTTCTTCTGACCTCTTGATGACTCCAGTGTGGCTCCTGGCTTATCCTCTTGCTCTGGGGGACTTATAGGGCTTCACCTGGAGCTAGAGGCTGGAGTTGGGCAGGCACATTCCCAGTGCAGCCTTCTCCTGATGTTCCAGGGATTTGCTGGGGTTTGCAGCTGACCCTCAGGTGGCGCTCCTGTTGGCAGCACTCAGTGTCTTCACACTATGGAGCTGGGGTAGTTTGTAAAGAAGCACCAGCCTCAATGCACAGTGCTTGGGGGTCAGGAGAAGGTCAGTGAGCGTGCAGTAGAGTCCACATGGAAACCAGGGGAACCAACATGGGCGTGTCTCCCTCTAGACAGTATGTGAACCAGACCCCCATGTGGTCAGGGCTCCAAGGACAACAGACACGACCAAGCTGGGCAGGCGCTATAAGGGCTTTAATATTCTCTCTCTCTCTCATTTCCTTCACACCCACAGTTGGCACTTGTTCCTGGCTCTTCCTAAGGCCTGTCCCAAGCCTGCTCCTCCCATGTACGCCACTGTATCCTCCTTTACTTGTGACTTTTCCTATAACTCTTCGGTTTCTAATGTTCTGTACAATTTGCTTATGATTATGTGTCTTTCTCGATTTGCTGAGTGGGACTCCCCCCCGGTGCAGTTCTTTTCCTCCCGTGCTGTACCCCAAGTGACTGAACCAGCACTTGGAGCCTGAGCACATGTCAGGTATTTGCTGACTTGCATGCAGCATCACTGAGCTCCTTGGTGGAGCACAAACAGCTGCTTCCCAAATCATAGGAGTCCCAGCATTTAATTCTGATTCCATGGTGTTCTAACAGCTACTTTGAGCTGTATCCTAAATAGGAAAACTCAAAATAGAAAGCCCTTTTATTTTCAGTGGGCCCACCTTTCTGACCATGTGTAAAGTTAGGTGGAGGAGCCTGGCCAGTGGTTTCCCATGGAGATGGTGACAGCACAGGGCTTGGGGCCTCCTCTTCCCTTTGCTGTACAGATGCTGAGAGCTGAACGATTGCTCACTGAAGTTGAGCAACTAACCAGGGTCCCCTGGGCAAATCTCTCATGTGTGATCTTGGATTCCTTAAGTGGCTGGGCCATTTCTCAGGGACTGTTGTGAGCTGTCCACCCCACAAGACCCTGGCCAAAGAGAGGCGAGACTCTGAGAGCCTCCGTCTGTTCAAACATACTTGGTCAGCGCTCAGTTCTGCAAGAAGCTGAAAGTTCTGCCCTTCTGGAATGATGGGGAAGGACCCTGGGTCTTTTCCCCAAATCTTTACTCTCACCATACGCTCGTGTATTTCACCCTGAGGGACTGTGGGCCAGCAGTGACCAACTTTTGCCTTCTAGACTCAGCCACAGCCTACGGCCCCCATCCCTGCACCCCTCCCGAGAGACTCTTTGGTGGTACTCAGCCCTGGGAGAAGCAGGCATAGGTTTTCCGGATGCCCTAAGGAACACAGCAGGGGTATTGGAGAGCCCAGGGGCACTTTGCAGTGAGCAGGCAGTTGGTGTTGGCAGGGGTCCTAGTGGGTAGTTGGAGTCACAGATGTATTCTAGGTTCTGCCTATGATTCCTTTCCCCATTGCCTATTCTCTGCTTGAGAGAATAAAGACTTATTTTTGCGTTTGAAACTGCTGGCCACAGTCTGCCAGCTGTCTGGGTTGGGGCTGTTGGTCTGTTGCTTGAGGCTTTAGGGAAGAGATTGTAAGAATGTCTGTGGGTGTTGGCAGCGAGGGCTGTGGGGCTGCCTCCCTGGCAGGGTGGTCTCTCCACACTCCACATTTGTGTGTCCCAGGGAGAGGTTTGAGAAGCCGTTTGCACCTCCTGACCTGGGACAGGCGGAAGTTCCCACTAACCTCCTGGAATTGCTGGCCAGCCCCGCCCTTGGCTGGATGTGGACATCTTGGCACATTCCACCAACTAGGAGCTGGGAGTAGCAGAGTGGAGCCAGGGGTGATGGGAAAAGCACCACTTGGCTGCTCTCCTGGGTTGGGGGCAGGGGGAGTGAACAGAGGACACATGATGGGGGAGGCGCTGCAGACGTGGGCAGTTTGGAGAAGAGCTGATGTGTATTTGGTCCTATTTGAGAATGTGGGGGCCGGCCCGGTGGTGCACTGCTACAGTGCGCCGCTTGGGAAGCGCGGCGGCGCTCCTGCCAAGGGTTCGGATCCCACATACAGACTGGCCACTCACTGGCTGAGCGAGGTGTGGGTGCAACACTGAGGGTTGCGATCCCGTTGCCGGTCCCGGTCCGGTCCGGGCGTGACACTGAGGGTTGCGATCCGTTGCCGGTCACGAAAAAAGACAAAAAGGAAAAAAAAAAAAGAGAATGTGAGGCTTTGTTGGCAGTGTCCCCTGTGCAGGATACAAGGAGGCCTTTTTTCAGCCCAGCTGGGTAAGAACAGGTCTGAGGAACATCTTCCCACAGGCTGGGCCTTGATAGAGTGGGTAGAGATCCCACCACCTGGTGCCTGAAGCCTTGGGGGGCACAGTGAGGACATAGGTGCTGTTGGTACTTAGTGCAGCCTGGGGCGGGGTGGGGGGTGTGGGATGGCTTTTCCATAGGGAGTTTCAGAACTCTTACTGGAAACAATACCTTCCTCCTCCTGTGTGTGGTTTCCCTGGGAATGACCTACAGGACCATGTGCCCACTGTGGAGCCCGTTTTTGTCACAGGCACGTCCTGGGAAAGGAGTACACCCAGAGAGGGCAGCGTGCTCCTGGGCCCCTTTTCTTCCTCCATTTGTGAATTGCTTCTCAGTGCCCACCATGTGCCTGACAGTAGCAAGTGTGTAATGAGCAGGGAATGTAACCCACGAGCCACCTCCTTGTGAGCGTGTTCTGGTTGGGGAGATGACGTCAGGCAGCAGGCAGTAGCATCCTGTGGTCGAGTGCTCAGCACAGGTGTGTGCAGGGTGAGAGGTTGAGTTGAGACTGAGGAATGAAGGATGTCTAGGGAGAACTGGTGGCCAAGGGCAAGCACAAGGGCCCTTAAATATTGCTGGATCTGAGGTTGGGGGAACGTGGGCCGATTATGCAGGGCTCTAGGTGTTGCAGGGCCTCAGCTGGGACTGCCCACGGCTGTGGGAGCCGTGGGAGTTGTGGGAAGGGTGGGTCGAGGGACAGAGGGATGTTGTCGGGGTGGAGGTGCTGAAGAGGTCAGGATTCTGATGTCCCTGCCATGTCTGGCATGAGCAAAGTTTGGGGCCTGAAGGAATCAAATTGCCATTACTGAGAGAGTATGGAGCGTAAGGTTTGTCAGAGTGGTGGAGGGTCAGGGCTTGGTTGGACAGGCGCTTATGGTGACCACTTGGTATCCACATGCATTGCCCCTGGTGCACGCCGGTGTCTGCAGGGTGCAGGGAGGCAGGCGCGGTGTGCTTCTCACCACTGGAATGTTCTGTGGAACTTGGCACCTCCCTTGCCCTGCTGCCCACCTATTCTGTTGGGAGACAGGCCCTGCCCTGCTTGGCTGCTCATCTGTGACTGGGCCTTTATCAGGTGTGCAGAGCAGGCCCAGCCACAGGGAGGATGTGCTTTGGGTACCAGGTGTCTGCTGGGGGCCTGGCAGGGGGGCAGCTGGGTTAGAACATCTCTAGTGCTTTGAACCTCCATGAGAAACAGAAGAGGTTTTCCTTGAGCCCTGGCAGTCTACAGGGACTACAGAGTCCAGGGCTAGCCAGAAATACAGCTTTTTTTTTTTTTTTTTTTTTTTTTTTTTGTCTTTTTCCGTGTCCGGCAACGGATCGCAACCCTCAGTGTTGCCCCTGTACCGGACCGGGGACCGGCAACGGGATTGCAACCCTCGGCGTTGCTCCCGTGCCTCGCTCAGCCAGTGAGCGGGAACCGGTCTGTATGTGGGATCCGAACCCTCGGGCGGGAGTGCCGCCGCGCTTCCCAAGTGGCGCACTATCCAGTGCGCCACCGGGCCGGCCCCAGAAATACAGCTTTTTTTTGTGTGTGTTCCTAACACATTTTATTTTCTTAAACACTGAGATCTGAAAAGATGTCCCTTGTCCAGGCAGTCCCCATGTGCAGCTTCCTCCAGCCAGCAGGGGCAGCAGCATCCTTGAATGTGGGCTGTGTGATCTGTGTATGTGTTTAGAAAGGTCCTGTGTGGATGGGTGGATGGCAGCCTTGGTAACAGCGCCTGCTCTCTGCAGCCTGTGCACGTCTGGTGTGGTGCGCCTCCACATCAACAGCTGGCTGGAGGTGAGCTTCTGCCTGCCCCACAAGATCCACTATGCTGCCTCGAGCCTGATCCCCCCAGAGGCCATTGAGCGGAGCCTGAAAGCCATCCGGTGAGTGCTCAGCCGCATATGCACACTCCCTGCAAGGGCCCTGCCCTTTAGCTTCTGCCTGAGACTTTACCAATTACTTTGTTTCAAAAGTTCTCTCTTCCTATTGCAGAAGTTGGCAGGTAGGGCTCTGATGCTTATAGAAGTAAAAACACATGTTTCTGTATCCAGTTCTGTCCAGAAATGACCAATCCCAGGTTTCCCCTGGGCATTTCTGGCATCGCCTGGGTGAGTGGAGCTCCCTGCCAAGGCCCTCGCTGTGGGGCTGCAGGGCAGGGCAGCAGAACAGGGCAGGGCAGCAGAGCAGGGCAGGGCAGGGCAGGGCAGAGCGGGGGTGTTGCTCACCAGATCCTCTGTATTTGAATCAGAACTCCTGAGATCTGTTAGTTTCTTAATATAATTGATTTCCTGCAAGGGAAGAGCTGAACCCAATCATCTGGTGTACCCTCCATCCCCTCCTAGTCAAGTTCCCCGTTTCCTTGAATTCTTTTAATTAAAAAGGGAAATCTGAGCACATTCCAGAAAATTTGGAAACGACAGAAAGCAAAGCACTGCCCAGTGCTCCCACCCTGCCCAGGCTGTGCTGCAGGTCAGATTCTGCTTTTCCTCCTGGTCTTCCTTGCTAAGCATATTTTTATATAGTTCTGTATATAGTCTATATTAAATAGACTGTGTGAGGGGATTTTGCCCTTCCCAAATTTAGGACTGTTTTCTTAGGAAAGATTCATTCATTTCTTCAACCAACAAACGTTTGCTGAGGATGGGGTATGGAAACTAAAACAGCTATAAAATAAAGTCTCTTACTTACGAAGAAAAAAAAGACATTTGCTGGGCAATCCCAGAGGTGCAATATAGAATCAGGTCTTCAGGCCTTCCCCAGTTTTGTTCTACTTTGTTCTTTCTAAGGGTGGTAGTAAACCATGCACGTTTTATAATGCCCTGGACACACTCCTGCCCTTCTTTCTGATCGCTCCTCGGCTTGGTCTCTGCAGTTCAGTACTTGTGGGTTCTGACTACACCTTTGTGTTCCAGGTACATACCTGGACAGGGGACCCTGTGACTCCACGTGTCCTGCTGATGTGTGACTGTACTCCACAGCCCATACCACGCCCTACTGCTGCTCAGTGATGAGAAGTCCCTGCTTGGTGAGCTCCCTGTCGACTGCTCTCCGGCTCTGGTGCGGGTGATCAAGACCACGTCTGCTGTGAAGAACCTGCAGCAGCTAGCCCAGGATGCCGACCTGGCCTTGCTGCAGGTACAGCCCTGGGAACCTGGATGAGTGGGAGCAAGGGGCCCCCAGGTAACATGGCAACCCCTGTGTGAACATGGGAGACGCTGGTACATCAGGAAAGCAGGCCACAGCTGTACCGCATCTCCAGGGCCTCTGTCCATCTGAGAGCTGCTTTGTGGCCCACCATGGGAGGACTCTGGTTCCTGGGCTGGCTCTGTGAGCTAGCAGCAGGACTGACTTCTTCCTCTGTCTCAAGGGGAGGTCAGGCTGTGGGGGAAAAAAGTGAGGCTCTCCCAGTGCTGGGCAGTGGCCTGGAGGACGGGACATCAGCACTGGGGTGTGGGAGCATGCAAGGTGAGGGGTCAGTTCACAGGAGCCTCAGAGTGGCCGATGAGCAAGTGAGTGGGAAGTGAGGGCAGGCAGCACTGACAGGGGCCGGCATATGTGCAGAGCCAGCACCTAACCTGGTGGCCTTACCCCAGTGTGTGCCCACGTGCTGGCCTGTGTTCTTTGTGCAAGATGCCACCTCCTTGCCAAGCCACATTCTTGTGGGCCAGTTCTGGCAGAGGGCTGCCCTTTCTGATCAGATGGAGGGTCCCTCAGCCTGTTCACAGATCTGGATGGAGTGTGGGCAGGCACGTGGGTGGTGATGAAGAAAAGCAGGAAAAGGTGGAGGCCGGAACAAGGGGCCATTGACAGGGTGGTCTGTGACTGTTAGGCACGCAGGAGCAGCCCAAGCTGTGGCACCACCCATGTGACAGCCTGAGGGCGGGACTGGGTGAATGCCTGTGGGTGGCACAGACCCTGGGGTCTGGTGGCAGTGTGCACCACGTGGCCACCAGGCGGCAGCAGAGGCCGGGCCTGGGAGCTGTGGTTCCCAGGTGGGCTGAAGAGGCACAGGCACGAGGCAGGTCCCTCTGGCTCAGTGTCTGGGTGGTTTGGGCCTGAGAAGCACACCTGGGAGGTGCTGGCATCGCCCACTGGTCTTTGCTTCTTAGCACATTAGGGCTGCTTATCTGATCAGGCCTGACTCTCAGGCTGTTTTTTCCCCAAAGTGTCCTTTTTGGATTCTGTCAGAGTAAGTCTCTCCGTTTGTATCCCATGACGCTTGGTTTGTCTCTGTGAGAGCACTTCCTGGATTCCACCTTGTATTTCAGTTTGGTCTCCTGGGCTGGACAGGACCCAGGAAAGAGAACTTTAAATGCGCTGTCCATTCCATATGTACCCGTAGAGTGAGGGAATCAGCGGCCCTCTGTGTTCTGAGGACACCAGCTATGTGGTGGATGCCTGTGTGCTTGCGGGTCCTGCTTTGAGCTTTGAGAGGAGCTGGCAATTGCTGTCTTCTGTGCTCATGACATCTGTGCTGGATGCCGGGCCACATCCTTGCTGTCAGAGTCTCCTGGACAAAGCTCTGATGTCCCTTTGATGTCCCCTTTGCTTCCCTGCCTCATCCTTGCCTGGGGTGGGGGGAAGGCTGTTTGTCATTTCCTTCCACAGCCCTCCCCGCTGTGCCTGGTGCAGACCAGCCAGGGTTGCTGCTGGTGTGGCTAAGTGGAAGCCACGGGCCCAGCCCTAGCGGCTTGCCTCACCACCTCTGGGACTGCTGTTTCCTATCCATGGCCCCGTGGGGAGCATAGGACTCAGGTGTGAATGTCATCAGATGACTTAAAATCACTCGTGTTCCATCTCAAGCCAAAGAGGACCTACAAGTAAATTTTGGGTTTTTTTGTCATGATAAAATTAGTATGTTCGTTCTTTAAAGTTTAAAATATTAAGGCTGGCCAGTTAGCTCAGTTGGTTAGACTGTGGTGCTTATAACACCAAGGTCCAGGGTTCGATACCTGTACTGGCCAACTGCAAAAAAAAAAAAAATCAAATATTTATTACGTAAATTATAGGCCCAAAAAGAAAAAGTCCCCACAATCCCATATCTCAGAGGTAACCACTGTAGATCAGATTTTTTATTTATATATATACAAACTCTTTTTTTTTTTATGATGGCTGGCCGATTTGGGAATCCAAACCCTTGTCATTATTTTCGAATAATAAAATTAGGATTTCACAGTACATTATTGGGATCAGCTGAATAATGACCTCCACAGACATCCACATCCTAATCCCCAGGACCCATGCATTGACCTCATGTGGGACTTTGCAGGTGTTGAGGTGGGAAGATGATCCTGGTGGGCCCTACATGTAATCACAAGGGCCCTTATCAGAGGGAGGTGGAGGCAGAGATTGGAGTGATGTGTCCACATCCAAGGGATACTGGTGGCTGGAAGAGGCAGGGCGATCCTCTCCTGGAGCCTCCAGAGGGAGATGGCCCTGTGGTGCTGATGTTGGACTTCACGGCACCTGGGCTGCCTTGTGGAGAGGCAGAGAGACCAGGGGGGGTCTGCAGGGATCGGGGGAGGGTGGAGACACCAGACTAGGGGGTGGTAGAGATGGAGAAGCCTTTAGAGTGAATGTGAGTGGCTTGGGATGAGAGAGAAGAGGGGCAGCCACAGGACTGAGATCCCACCGCATTGGAGTTAGCGATGCTGCTGGAGGTCCTGTTTGCCAAGAGGAGATAGACATGTCCTCGGCAACATGGCAGCCACTGTGTGCAGGTGGGGGCGGTTTTCGCCCTCCCCCTGCCCTGTGGTAGCCCCCTGCTGAGAGGATGGAGTGGTGTCTTGGAGTTTCATACACCTTTCCATGAAGTGCTGTGGAGCCACATTTACCAACTTGTCCACCCTCGTGAAGCTGGGATGTCCCAAAGTCTCTCCTGGATTGGATATCTGGTGCCCTGGTCTGTCTGTGTCTCCTGGTGTGCAGGGTCCAGGAATGCAGGCAGGGGGAAATCTTCTGTGGGGGTGGGGGGCGGCACACAGGGATGAGTTGGGGCCTCCGGATGGCACGCTGAGTGACTCCACAATCATTATCACTTGGGCGAGGCCATGCTGGGGTCCAGCTGGGCTGATCCTGTGTACCCCAGATAGCCCTGTGCTTGTGGGCTCACCCCTGGGTCTGAGACCATCACTCTTCAGTGGGAGCCCAACAACACAGGGCCTTGAGAGGGACACGATGGTGCCCAACAGTACAGGGAACGGTGGTAACAGGAAACACCGTGCTGGCTGTGCCCAGCACCCTGGTTGGAGGTTGGGAAGGTGCTGCTGGGAGGCAGAGAGGAAATCCTGCGGGGCCATGGCCACAAGGTCTGTGCTACATGAGTCTTGGGCCAGCCTCCCAGGCACAGCCCTCCCAGTGCCCCCTCTGCCTACAGGTTTTCCAGCTGGCGGCTCACCTGGTGTACTGGGGCAAGGCCATCATCATCTACCCACTGTGTGAGAACAACGTCTACATGCTGTCCCCAAACGCCAGCGTGTGTCTGTGAGTACCTCTGGCAGCCAGAGCCTGGAGCCCCCAGCTGAGTAGGTGAGGCCATGGGGCCCTCCAGGTGATGCTCACTGGTCGGCCAGGTGCTGGAGGCTGTGGGAGCCCCAAGGCGGGGCTGCAGTATGCCCAGGTTGCAGTTGTGACCTGGCTCAGTGCGCATATCCCTCCTGTGCCAGGCCCACGACCGGCTCTCTTGGCGCACCCTGCATTGTGCAGTGGACACCAAAGCTGGCACTCACGGTCCCCGGCTCCTTGCTTCCCCCAGTTCTTGCAGCCAGGGTGCCTGAGGGGGGTAGAAGGGGGACTGTTCCTGGGGCTCCTGCAGGCCCTCGAGGGAAAGTGCCTAGGCCTCGTGCTCAGCACGCTGTGTTCCTTGCTGCCTGCTGAGGGCTGGTGGCAAGTCCCCAGTGCACAACACATGGTGGGTGGGATCTGCTGGGCTCACAGATGTGCTTGCCTGACCCCAGGTACTCGCCGCTGGCTGAACAGTTCTCCTGCCAGTTTCCGTCCCACGACCTGCCATCCATCCTTGCCAAGTTCTCCTTGCCCATCTCCTTGTCAGAATTTAGGAATCCTCTGGCCCCCCCTGTGCAGGAGGTGAGTCACAGAAGCTCCGGGAGCCCAGTGTGACAGGTGCAGGGTGGATTGGGCACCACTGCTTGGCTGTTGGTCCCTGACCCAAGGGCCCTCAGCACAGCTGCCCACTTCGCCTTGTTTTTGGGGGTCTTGCTGGGCAGGTGCTATGTGCTCTGCCAGGGTGACCCAAAAACTGGCTGCCAGGCCACCTGCGGACATTTGGTTATGACGGGACACCTGTGGAGTCTACCCTGGCTGTGGTGGGCAGTTCTTAGGGCTAGAACTGAGTTGAGCTTGGCAGGAGAGCACCTTGTACCCCTTCTGGGCCTGCATTTCCCATAGGTGGAGAGCGCAGAGGCAGCCTTGTCTTTGCTAGGCCTGGACCCCATCCCTTCCCCCTGCTGTGGTTCAGGTGGCCACAGGGTCTGTGGATGTGAGTCCTGGGTCACTGGTCCCCAGAATCTACTCACCCAAGAGGATCTGGAGAGGACCACCCTGGGATAGTGCCCACCCAGTGGGCCTGGGTTGGGGGAAGGGGCAGGCAGGGGGCCTCCTGAAGGTGTGTGGATGAACTAGTCTTCGTCTGCAGAAGGGTTGGTGGCTGTCCCTTGTGAGCTGCAGGGTGTCCCTCTTCACAGCCTCATTCTGAAATTGTGACAGGAGGCTCTGCAAGCCCCTCTGCAAGCGCCTCCCGCCCCTCTGCAAGCGCCCAAAGCTCTGGATGGGAACTAGGGACCTAAGGCAGGGCTGCATAGCACAGGTGTCAGGTGGTTGTTCTCAGAGTTTTGTCTCCAAAAGTAAAGTATTTGTTTTAATAAGCGCCAAGCTCTACTGGGCAAAACCAGTCCTTAAAATTAAGCCCTTTCCCTTCTCAAATTGTGAATGAGAATAAGATCCTGGGTTTTCAGCTCATTTAGACACTGAGCATGACAGAGTTCTGAATGCCGCCTTTCATAGAGCCTTCAGTTTCCAGGACCTGTGCCAGGGCATGTCAGATGAATAAAATACACACTTTGCATCTGCAGCCTCCCTCCCTCCCTCCTTTCCTCCCTTCCTGGCAGTGCTGGGAGGGGCTGGGGGCTCCCACCCAGCAGGCTTCCCAGTGGTCTGGATAATGGGGTGGATTTTCCAGGCTGTGTCTGAGCGGTTGCTCCAGGCTTTGTCAAGGGGCCCAGGTGGCACTGAGTTTGGTTCTGCCCAGTCCCAGGGATGTGCTGCCTAGTGCTTGTGAAACCCTTTGTTTTATTTCTTAACTTCATGTTAAGTTTAGATACTTTGCAGTCCTTCTGTTTTTTATTTGGTTTGATCAGGTCATGCATGCCTATGGCACATTGCCCACTCCCCTCCCCAGGCACCCAGCTCCTCCCAGGAGGTGACCTTGGTCAGCAGTCCCTTGTGGACTCTCCCAGAGATGAACAGATGGATGTGTGTGTCTGCGAACACTGACATCTGCACACCTGCTTTTGGTGTCTGTGTCTGGGACGTGCTTTCTCAGTGGTGCTGGGACTCGGTCAAGTGCCAGCCCCACCTGCTGACCAGAGAGACACACGGAGAACCTGGCCTGGACGTGCCTTCTTTTTTTTTTCTTTTTGTCTTTTTCGTGACCGGTAAGGGGATCGCAACCCTTGGTGTGGTGTCGCCCGCACCGCGCTCAGCCAGTGAGCGCACCGGCCATTCCTATATAGGATCCGAACCTGCGGCGGAGTGCTGCTGCACTCCCGGCGCTGCACTTTCCCGAGTGTGCCATGGGGTGGGCTCCTGGACGTGCCTTCTGATGGGGGCAGGTTGGCTCCACGTCCGAGCAGGGGATCCCCATCCCCAGCTTCCTTCAGAAACCACCCATGTTCCCGCCCAGGACAGACTTTCAGGTAGACCCAAGGAGAGGACATTCTGCTCTTAGGGCAACTGCCATGGCCTCTTTCTCAACTATGTCTGGGTTTTCCCAGCAGTGGACCAGCTGGCTTGGTCCAGCTGCAGGCCTGGTAGGGTGCAGGCAAGGGAGGCAGAGCAGGGCAGCCCTAGAACACAGCATGAGGGACTCGGCTCAGAAGAAGGGCACGGGGGCTCCCTGTCATAGGTCCTGCTCCTCATCCAGATGCAGGGACAGCACAGGAGTGTGGTGGGTGCCAGTGCAGGTGTGAGCCAGGTACTCTCCCATCCTCTCTACCTTCCCCGAGGGTGTGTTGGTCTTGCAGAGCCAGCCAGAAGCGGGGGTTCCTTTCCTGAGGTTGGGGCCTTCCTGCCAAGGAGTCAGCACCAAGGAGCATGCTGGGGTTGTGTCTAGGGCCTTGGCTCTCTGATCCCCCAGGAAGGGAATGGGGTGGAGGGGGGCTGTCCTCACCCTCTGCCCACTCCGTAGACCCAGCTCATCCAGATGGTGGTGTGGATGCTGCAGCACCGGCTCCTCATCCAGCTGCACACCTATGTTTGTCTGATGGCCTCACCCAGCGAGGAGGAGTCCCGCCTGCGAGAGGATGACGTTCCCTTCACTGCCCGGGTTGGGGGCCGCAGCCTCAGCACGCCCAACGCCCTCAGCTTTGGTTCCCCAAGTAGGATCCACCCCAGGGCATCTATCTGGTAGTGGGGGGTGGTGGCCAGGAAGCCTGACATGGCACTGCTGGGAGTTACCAAGGTGCCCGCACACAGTTGCACACGTGTAGACATGCACACACCTGACCCTCATGTCTCCTGTGGAGACTCCTTTCCCCTACACCCCCATGGCTCGGAGAAGGAGGCTCTGCCTCTGAATCCTTCAGCTGGGGCTTGCTAGAGTCAGGAGCAGTGCCTGGCCCACCACATCATTGCTGGAACCGCCCACCCCAGCCTGGGCTTGGAGCAGGATTTCACACTATCACCAGGGAGACCGTTGGGACCCCCATACCCAAGGGCCCATGAGGACACAGTGATAGCCACAGCCACTTCCTAGAAGAGCTGTGTGGCCACAGCGTGCCCCAAAGACAGCAGCCCGTTGCTGAATTCCAGGGCTCCAGGCATGGGGAAGGCAAGGCGCTGTAAGGCTCTGGAAATTCCCCTGGCTGAGGACTGGCTTCTGGCTCAGGTTCAATGTGTGGACCCTGCCTGGCCAGGGGACTCCATCTCCGTGTTGTGGGAGGGGCAGGACGTCAGGGACCCCTGGGGGTATGGGGCCCTCAAGCTGCTCCCAGAGGGGGAGGCTTCCTGTGCCTGGGTAAGCCACATCCAGGGGATGGGGTGGAGGCACCAGGAGGGCCCTGTGGGAGCTGGAGGTGTCCTGGGGGACTGGCTGCTGCTCTGCCTTCATTGCTCCCCCATGGGACCCTGGATCCCACTGTGGTGCTGCTGTCCCTGACCCATGCCCACCCATAGCCAGCAGTGACGACATGACCCTCACCAGCCCCAGCATGGACAATTCCAGTGCAGAGCTGCTCCCCAGTGGGGACTCGCCGCTGAGCAAGAGGATGACAGAGAGTCTGCTGGCCAGCCTGTCAGAGCATGAGCGGGCAGCCATCCTCAGCGTGCCTGCGGCCCAGAATCCTGAGGACCTCCGCATGTTTGCCAGGTGGGGGCAGGGTGCCTTGTGGGGAGCCAGGGCCAGTGCCTGGACAGAAAGCAGATAGGGACATACCTGACCTGACCTGACCACAAATTTAAATCCATGAACAACAAACTGCTCACTGGTTGAAATGATGCCTTAAAACCTCAGGTGGATGCAGAGGGCAGTGTCACTGCCCAGGAGTGGGGAATGCAGCTTGTTGCTGGGACCCTGGGCCTGGGGCCTGACGTGCCTGCTGTGGGGCATCTCCCTAATGCTTTTTGGATGTTCCTGTCACTTGTTAAGAGGCAGCAGCAAGTTCTCACCATGTGGCCTTGGCAGGGATTTGTCCAGGACTCAGCCCTCAGGGTCATAGGTGTGGGGCCGGATAGTCTTTGTCACTCCTCCCAAATTGGGGGGCACTGTTGTAGGTGCATAGTTTTCTAGGATAGATCAGGTTGTCAGGGACTGAGCACCACCCCCCCAAACCCCCAGTTATGAACCATACTCCAGCCCCTTAGGAGAACCATCTGCAACTCTCCCAGCAGTTGGTGCCTGCATCCTGGCTCCTCTGTGCCCACCTCAGCTGCAGAAACCTCCCTAGAGCAGGGACCTTTTGGGCCCAGAACCACATGGGACTGACTGCCACTGTAGCATGAAAAAGAAAATTGGTAGACCCCTCCCCATGTCAGGATGCAGGTGGCTTTGGGTCTGAAGAGCTGTGCAATCTTGTGGACCCACTTGAGGCCCATGTGCTGGTCACTGGGGACCGTGGGGGTGTTGGGTCCAGGCCTTCCCCTGTTGGTGGGGGGCCGTGGGGGGCTCAGCGCTGCTCCTCACCAGTGGCTGTTCTTCTGCCCCCACCTCTCCCCCAGGCTCCTTCACTACTTCCGCGGCCACCACCACCTGGAGGAGATCATGTACAATGAGAACACGCGGCGTTCCCAGCTGCTTATGCTTTTCGACAAGTTCCGCAGTGTGCTGGTGGTGACCACCCACGAGGATCCCATCATTGCCATCTTCCAGGCATTGCTCACATGAGCTGGGGAACAGAGAGGCTGAGGGGTGCGTGGGTAAGCACCAGTCTCGCCCCACTCTGAGGCTCCCTTCCTGCAGGGCCTGAGCCTCTTAGTCCTGAGGCCTGGCATTGGTGGATGGGCAGCCTTGCTTGAGTGAAGGCCTGCAGAGCCCCCACCTCCTTGCTGCAGATGGTTCAGTCTGGCTCAGCAGCTGCGATGGGGCTGCGGGCCTCTGCCTTTCCTCTTCCATCAATCCACACAACAGCCTCAGTGCTGCTGAGCTGCAGGGGCCTTCAAGCACCCTCGGGGTCTCCGGGTGAGGACTGTGTCCTTCCCACATGCATGCAGGTTGTGCATCTCTCAGAACCCCCCTCCTGACCCTGCCCATGCTTCTCGGCCTACACTCTGTGTAACTGTCCCAGATGGCATACAAAAACACTTAAGCCCATCTGTGCCCCTCCAGTGACTGTTAATGTGTGAGGTCCAACAAGTACCTGGCCTGTTCTGCCCCCCTCCCCACAATGGTACTAAGCCACCAGCAGGCTTATAGTCCAGCTGTCGCCCTGTCCTGACCGTCTGAGGCACGACCCCCTGCACAGGACCCCCCCTTGGGGCATCTGCACACAGACTGGTGATCCTCCCTCAGCATCCATACTGGGCTCCCAGCCCTCCTGTCCTGGAGGAAGAGCTGCTCCAGACACATGCTGACCACCTGGGGGGCTCTGGCTGAGACATGGACAACAGTTTTCTAGAAATAAAGCATTTATTTGGTTTTTAAACAGTTAAAAATTCTTGTCTGAGCAGGCCCTTTGCTCAGTCCTGTTTTCCTGCTCAGCTTCTCTGTCCACCACGCTCACCCAGGGGCTGTCCCGGATGTAGAAGCGCAGGGGCTTCTGGGCCCACTCCCCTGTTTGGCCAATGCCCACCCGGGCTGCTGCCACCACAGCTGACCTAGTGGGCCCCAGGGGGCTGCGCTCTAACCACAGGGCCTCATCCTGGGCCAGGTCCCGCTGGTCGAAGCTCTTGTCGATGGCCAAGGCCTGACACAGCTTGGAGGGGCCACTGCAGAGCTCACGGTCCTTGACGGCACGGCTGCTGGTGCCTTTACGGAGGCTGGTGCGAAGCTGCCGCATGGTCTCCAGGCCGCCCAGGGGCTCCAATGCTCGCAGTAGGACGCAAGCCCCATCCCCTGTGGGACAGACACACAGCATGATGTGCAGCATCCCCGGGTGCCCACCCCAGTGCACATGCCTTCCTGAGAGGGATGGGGTCCGTTGTGTGCACACCTGTGTTCCCCGCCTACACCCACAGGGCAGCTGTGCCTCTGTGGGCACCTCTGGCTGCCACGACCAGGCAGGGCCTTCACCCATGTGGCTGCTCCCACTGAGCCAGAACTAGCTGGGCAGAGCCTGTGAAAACACGTGATGCCAGGGCATCAGCCTCCTTCCCTTTGGCTGGTCCTGCTCTTGTGATTGGCGGCAGCTGTGCGGCCCAGTCCTCCCTGGGCGGGGTCACCCTGCCAGGAAGCAGGAAGGTTCGGGCCTAGCCCAAATCCCTCCATGGGCCCCAGGACTCCCCACCCACCTCACCCAGTCAGTGTCCATGTTGGGCAAGCCAGGAGAGAGCCCCATCCCATGACTCAATGGAGAGACTGACTTGGATATCATCCACAGGCAGGGCAAAAGGAGGTGATGACGAAGTCCCCTCACCTCCCCTGGGGTCTGCTCCAGCCCAGCCTCCTCCCCGACCAATCCAGTTCACTTCAGAGGCCAGAGGTGGCAAACTGACACAAGAGGACACAGATGTCTAAATTCCCTCTGCCTTGCATGCCTGGGAAGGCTGCTCTGATTCCTGGTGATGACTTGGACCCTGGCCAGAGGAGCCCTGACCCTCCTCAAGGCTCTTCTCCTGGGACACCTGCTCTGTTCACCTGTGCACCCCTGGCCTGCTGAGCCACTGGAAGTCAAAGGCTCAGCCTGAGGGCAGCCAAGCCAGTCCCCACTCTGGGCTCCCGGCCACGTGAGCCTCCCCCTGCTTCAGCCTCAGCAGCACCAAAGGCTGGCTCTGAGGGGTCAAAGCTATGTCCTCCAGCACAGCCAGTGGCCAGCAAGTGTGGGGTTCTTGTGAGCAGACAACCCCTAACCTGCCAATTTTCAAAGAATTTCACGACAAAATCAAGGCCTAGCAAAGCTTGTAGTTTCAGTCCCTCTGTGCTCACCATCAGCCACCTCAGCAGGAAGGAGCAGAACCCCTGAGACCCTGTGGGTGCAGGACACATCCCCTGCCTGGTCTCACTGAGCCTCCTGCAAATGGGTTGGAGGTGCAACCTAGACCCCCCATGACCACACCCCTCCTGGCTCCTTCACACAAAACACATCCAAGTCCCACATTCTGGAAAATAACACGACACTTTTGATCTCTTCCTGGGAAACCCCCTTGTCCTCACTTCTGTTCTGCTGCAACTACTACTCTGGCCTTGGCAAACCGACTGTTCTGCCTTCCCGGGCCCTGAAATCCTCCTCATCTCAAACCCAGATCCTCGCTATCATGACCCTGAGGGCAGGTGACAACCATGTCCTTGGCCTCCCTTTCACCTCTGCTCCACCTGGATGACCCTGCCTGTCTGTGCCCATGCAGGGCCTTGTCCCCCAGACCTGGACATTCCTGGGTTATCTTCCTCATGTGTCCAGAGAGTAACAGGTCATGCCTCTGTCCACCATACCTGAGAGACCTGGGCTCCTCCCCGCCCTTGCTGACCAAGCACCAAGCATTTCTGGACTCAGTCTCTTCTCTGAGGTCAGCCCTGCCTCACATGAGGGGATTCATCCCATTATCACCCAAAAGCTCCACACCAATCTCTGGGTGGTAACAGGGTCCTCCAGAGGGGTCTCCACCATCTTTTGATATCCAGTCATTCAGAGTTTCACTCCACACCAGCTTTGTGCAAGGTGCAGGCCAGTCCTGGGGTCCCTGCATCCCCCATCCCCAGCTGTCTGCTGTGGATAGTTACAATTCCCACATCACTGTACTCATTTAACAAACGTGTGACCTACAGTGTGCCAAGCCCTGTGCTCCTAACCAGCCTCAACAAGCACTTGCTCATCTTGGGGCAGGTGGGAAGGCTCTGCCAACAGAGGCTAGGACTGGCCAGCCAGGGTGGACCAGACAGACCCTGCTCCTTGTCAGCAGTGGTTCTGGCGGGACGGTGCTGTGGGCTCACATCCCCCAGAACACACAGCCACATGCTCACCAAGGACCCAGCCTTCCCCAGAGCTGGACCCCGCAGCAGGGAGCGGGTCTGCTGGGAGCTCCAGACCAGTATCTCCACTACTGACATTTGGGGCCTGATGATTCTCTGTGGAATGCACAGGAATCACTGTTCTGTGCACTGTAGGGTATCAGCAGCACCCCTGGCTTCCACCCACTAGATGCCAGTAGCCCCCCCAGCTGTGATGACCAAAAATGTCTCCAGATATTGCCTAACGTCCCGTGGGGGGCAGAAAATCACTCCCAGTTGAGAACAACCAATCCAAACCCCATAACAGGCCTCCTGGTGAGGCTCCTGACTGAACCCAGCTAACCCCAAATTGACCTCACCCTTGTTTCCCTACAACCAGCCCCTCCCGAATCTATCCCAGTGCCATCACTGACACCAACTCTGAGCTCTGGGACCTGCAGTGGCCTCAGGTCTACCTCATGACCTCTACTAGAGGAGCCCCCACCCCTCCAACCAACCTTGCTGTCAGTATAGCCAGAGCTCCTGAAACCCTCACTGTCCCCAACAACGGCACCTCTTTGTTCAAACACCAGCCCTACCCCAGTCCTCCCTGGGATCTCCTGGCTGCCAGCTGAGGGGGCTCTTCCAGCTGTCCTGTTACCCCAAACCCTGGCACCCCGCCACTGCTCACCTTGGCTGGAGACATTCATGCAGAAGTACATGCCGTAGATGATGTACACGTACAGGGTCCCTGGCTTCATGAACATGCTGCGGTTGCGGGGGGTCTGCCGGCCGCCTCTTGAGTGGGCGGCTTCATCCTCCGGTCCCAGGTATGCCTCAGTCTCCACAATGCGGCCGCGAAGCTCTGTGCCATCAGCGAGTCGCCGGACTAGGACCTGAGGGCAGTGAGTCCCCACTCAGAGCAGGGATGAGGGCCACCCACCCTGACAGTCCCCAGCTCAGGATGTGCCAGGCACCCAGGTGCCTGCTTCTCCTCTTGCTGCTGCTCAGGGCCTGAATGCTGCTAAGGCCACCAACTGTCTCCTCCAGCCCTGCTGGACCACCGGACCACAGGCCGTGTTCACTAAGTGTCCTGACCACAGGTCACAACCACCTCAAGCTCCAGCCAGGGATGGGCAGGAAACCAGCACTTGTGGACTCACTGAGGTCGACCTGCAGGTCCTCTCAGTGGAGTCCTCCATTCCCTGACTTTCTGCTGTCCCAAAGAGTCCCATTGGGAGAACCATCAATGTTTAGCATGAGGTTGGGTGGGCATGTGGAAGGCACAGCTGCCTGGGACCTTCCAGAGCCTGTGAAGTGGCCACAAAGGACCCTCACACTCTGCTCCCGCTTACCAGCTCTAAGGCGTTTCTGGGCAGCAGGACCAGCTACCCTGCAGGGCCCCAGCCTGGTCCTTGGAATGGCCAGCAGTCATGCCCCTAGTGCCCAGAGCTCCAAGCCTGACTTGACCAAGGTTCACAGCAGAGCTTTGGGGACCATCCATGTCCCTGGCACCTGCCTTGTGCTTAGGACAGAAGGATCAGTTGGGCAGCCTAGCCACTTTGGCCTCAGCCTGGGGAGCCCTATGGTGCCCAAAGCCCAGGGTTAGAGTCGTGGGACGGGAGAAGCACTGGAGCTTAGACACTCGGCGGGGGAGCATTTGGGGAGGCTGCCTTGGAGATGGGGTGGAGGAAATAAGGAGCATATGCCTGTGTTGGAAGTCCAGAAATCCCCCTAGGCACCCAAGGTGGTGAAGAAAGGAGTGAATGTGTCGGGCCTGGCCAGAACACCTCCAAGGGGCAAGGCTGGCTCCATTCCATGTTTTCCCTGGAACGTGGAGGGAGTGTCCCTCCAGCAGCTTCACCCTGCATGCTCCCGTGTCCCTAGGGGGCACACTGGTGGGCCCAACTGCCCTTCTGGAGAGGAGCTTCCTACAGTCTTTCCTCACTGTCTTCCATCCTGGTTTTCTGCTCTGAATCTCACTGTGAAGTTTCCACAGATGGCAGATGTTCGTTGTCTCCCCCCACTACAAATATACACACACACACCTTCCTGCTGATGGAGGGTCCTGGGAGAGGTAACATCACGCTCAGCCCAGAGAGTGGTCTGGATTGTCATAGCAACTCATGGCAATGGCCTTTTTAGGGATGAGTGCGTGACTGAAGCCTGGCTGAGGGGTCTGCAGGGACATCCAGTATAAGGCTATGGAAAAGCTGGTCTTCTGGACACACAGGGTGGAACCCTCTCCTCTGCTGGACATCATCTTGTCCACCAATGGGTTCAAGCGGGCATGACAGGAGCCTAAGGAGAAACCGCGACACTCCAAGGGTGCTGAATGGAGACAATGTGTTGTGGTCCTTGACCTGACCCTGAAATGCATCTGCTATTTTGTCATATCATAAATGCTACTTATTTAAGGTGCTTTTAGAAAGCTCTTCTGGCCCTTGCAGCTGAAAGCATCCTCGTGAGAACAGAATCTCGTCCCTTCTCCACTAGGTCAAACCCACATCTTCGGGTATGTTCCCTTCAGCACGCAACTCCTGGTGCTGGTTTTTCTATTAGTCACAGCAACAGGCTCTTCTTGGCTACTTCAACCTAAAAGTAGGATGCTAAAGAACAAAGGGTAGGCCAGGCCATGGAACCTATAGAAGAACCAAAAAGCCAGGCCTGGGGCTTTGGCACCTGGGAACACTCAGGTGATGCTCCAGATATTCCTGGCCATGAATCCAGGGCTACGTGAGCACTCATGCATGACACAGGCTGCACCGCAGGCCCCCACCAGAATGGACCCTGAGTGGTCCCTGCTTCCCACTCCAAGTCTGACTGGCAGAGCCCAGGTCCTGGACCTACATCAAGCTACAGGGGCCCTGGGAAGCCAGTGCTACACTGCGAGCTACAGTGGGAAGGAGGCTGTCTCAAGGCAATTTCAAAGCTAGGCAACCCAACATTGGCCAACGCCATAGTTCCCATGGGTTAAAAGCTGTCCCTCCTGACACACACAGATAAACCCTGGCCAGGGCACTGTCAGGGAATGAAATGGGCAAAGGTAACCCCTCATAGACTCCAAGGGCCAATGCTGACCATGGTCCTTGCAAGTAACCGGCCCTGAGGGTGATCCGAGGTGGAACAGGGACAATGACCCCATTTCCCAGGTGGGGAAGGCAGACAGTGCAGCTGCTCCCATCTTTGCTGCCCAGAGCAGGGACGCAGACAGTGGCACCCCACCCCCACCCAGGGCAAAGTGCACTAACGATCTCCACATTCATCCTAGACGACCAAGATGGAGCTATCCAGGGACCAGTGTGGACGAAGCAGCTAACTGAGGACAAGGAGAGTCAACCAAGGGCCAAGTCGGATGTGAGCCCTGTGGTGAGAGGGCTGGGGCCCACAGATGGCTGCATGGCGACATGCACTTAAGCAAAGACAGGTCACTATGTTTACACTACCTGTCCCAGAAATGCCTGGGCCAGGAGGACTGCCGGCTGGTCGAAAAACTCTGACCCCAGTCGGGGAGGGTGGCTCTTTGGGCTTGAGAAATAGATGCTGCGCTGGGGGCCCAGGGTCACAGGTGGTCCCAAGCGAGGCTCCTTGGGGGATGGCATCTGGGCCATGTCCGGTGGGCTCTGTTGCTGCTCTGCCACTGCCAGTCGCTGCTTTTTTTGCCTCATTCTTCAGAAAAGCTGTAATGGGAGAGAAGAAAATCAAGCGTCTTCACAGGAGAGGACAGTTGTGTGGTGAAGTCAGGCTCAGGGAACTCAAGGACCTGATCTGACTGCCCACTTGTTTCTTCATCTGCAAAGTTGGGTTGACCACCGGGTGGGTTGTTATGAGGCTCACGTACAGAATGCCACACCTGACACAACCTTAGGAGGCCTTGGGAGTAATTGCATGTGACAATGGGCTGCTGGTGGAGGCAGCATGGCTGCTGTGCTCCACACAGTCTGCACACATGGAGATGCATGGCTCAGGGCCCAGGGCTGCAGGTCCCTGGGAGGGACCTGGGACAAAGCACTGATACCCTCTGAATCCCACTCTGCGTGGACCCAAGCAAACTTCTAAGCTGGTTTCTGGAGCCCTGCTCTTTGCACCCAACCTCGACCAGGAATTTAAAAAAACAGCCTGGGGCAGGCCCATGGCTCACTCGGGAGAGTGCGGTGCTGATAACACCAAGGCCACGGGTTCGGATCCCTATATAGGGATGGCCGGTTGGCTCACTGGCTGAGCGTGGTGCTGACAACACCAAGCCAAGGGTTGAGATCCCCTTACCAGTCATCTTTAAAAAAAAAAAAAAAACAGCCTGGACCTCCGCGGGGCCGGCTGAGAAACACACCGTGGGTTCCTCCCCCCACTGCCCAGCTGACACATGGGCAGGATTCCCGCTTTGCCAGACTTGCTGGAGCCCAGAAGGCCTGACACACACAGGTGGTGAGCAAGGGACTGACTGTCGGCCCGGCCCCATCCCAGGTGCTCAGGGCATGCCCCCACGAGTCCCTAACTGTTTCTGCCTCGTCACCAGAATACCGGAACGATACCGAGCAAGTATGGCAGAAGCGAGGTCTCCTGAGGGGAAACCTGGCCACACACCCTCAGCCGTGCTGGGGCCGGCGAGGAGGGGAGATGAAGGGGCGCCCCGGGACCCGAAGAGGCTCCTCGACGGCGAGTCTTCGGCAGCACGCGAGGCCGCCCGCACCTAAGGGACCCTTCTTTTTAACCGAAGTGCTGACGTTCTGCCAGGGACGGACGCCGACGTGACCGTCTCTGCAGCCGGCCATGCCGCCCGGCCCCGACCCCCCACGGCACGGGTCGCTCGGTCTCCGCTCCGACCCCCGCGAGGCCGGGTAACGCGCTCACCTGGGCCCCGCTGCTCGCGGGTAGGTGGCGGCTCGGACACAGGCACGGGGCCCACCCAAGGCCGCCCCGGAAGTGCCGCCGGGCCGGGGTGGAGCCGGCGCCTGCGCGAAGGGGACGGAGCGGGGAGAGAAGAGGGAGGGGCGGAGGGACGGAGCCAGGGGAAGAGCGGGGAGAGAAGGGGGAGGGGCGGGGGCTTCCATCCTGCACCTTGACTGGGCCCTCGGGGTCCCGGGGGAGGCGCGGCGCGTTGGGGGAGGGGCGGCCAAGCCCGAGTCCTCGGGCCTGGCCCGCGCCGACCTCCGCGGCGTTTGAGTAGAGAGGGCCGGCTGGAGGGACGAGTGGGCCGGGGAGTCTCCAGGAAGTGGGCCCCGGGCCGATCCGGAAGCCCCCGCCTGGTCGGGGTCCTCGCCCTCCGGCAGGAAGATGAAGCAGCGGGGACTCTGCCTCTGCCTGCCCCTGCTGCGGCCCAGGGGTGCTGAGCGTGGCCGCCTTCTGAAGAGGCTGAGGCCAGGACGAGGGCTGAGGGGACCCTTGCACCCTGCCTGGCGTGGTGGCAGCCGCCCTACACCTCCGATGCCCCCTCCCTAGAGCCAGCGCCTGCTGCCCACCCTGCCTATAACCTCTGCGGTCAAATTGGTGTCCCCGGGGCGGGGGCGGGGAGTCTGAGGAGAGCAGCGCCTGGCGCAGAGGCAGGAAGAGCCCGGAGGCGGGGACGCTGAGGGGGAGGGCAAACTGCCGGCTTTGGTGGCTCAGTGGCAGCCCCGACACCCAGCAGGGCCATTCCCCACCCCACTTTGCCACTCTGAGGTTTATCTGCTTGGCCCTTTACTGTGGCCCGTACAATCCCACCCCCACAACCCACAACCCACTCCAGCCCTGTAAAAACCCTTGAGGGGTTGACCTCAGCTGTCTTTGGTTTCTGTGCCCCTGGTCATAGGAAGGAGGGTACCCGAGAGGCCTCAGAGAGTAATGGAGCATCTGGCCGTGTCAGATGAGAGGTGCTGGACAGGACAGAGGGACAGGCTGTGTCTAGGACTCTTGGATGAGCATGGCACCTGGTGCTAGGGCAAGGCCAACAGGGCACTGGAGACCAGCAACCTGGTCTCCAGCTACTCTCCTGAGCAGCTCAGGGCCTGAATTCAGGTCCAGGCTGTAGCCCAGCCTTCCTGCCCACAGTGGCCCCGACCAGGACTTCCAGGGGAGGGAGGGCAGCTGCTGCCACAGCCTGCTGGAAGCCGCCCAGCTGTTTGTGGCACTGTGTGCTGCTTCCAGCGGGGGTGGGGTGGGGACAATGTGTCATAAATCCATGCTTGTAAGGCAGGCCTGGATGTGACCCCCACCCCCTTCCTCCTTATTCCCTGCAGCCATTCTGCCCAAACAATGACTCTCCCCTTCCTGTAGGAGGGAAACTGAGGCCCCAGTCGGGCACTTTTCCCCTGATGAGGGCAGGGAGAGGGTGGGTATTTTTTAAAAGTAGTAGACTTTATAGCAGTTTTAGGTTTACAGAAAAATTGAGCAAGTACAGAGGTACACATACCCGGGTTTCTGCTCTTAGGAACATCTTTCATTAGTGTCATTCATCTGTTACATTCTCGCACCAATATTGATACACTGTTATTAACTGAAGTGCACATTAGGGTTTCCTGTTTGTGTTGTACAGTTCTGTGGGTTTTGCCGAGTGCATGTTATGTGTTCACCATTACGGTATCATATACCAATATTTATCCTAATTTCACAAGTGGTGCATGTTCCTTGTAGAAATCGTGGGGAGTCCAGAGGCTCCTGGAGGGGTGTTTTATCCCCACCTTTCCAATGAGGAAAGAGAGGCTTTTGGGTGGGCGGTCTGCCCTGCCCCAGAGGAGTAGGTGGGGCCGGCGCCAGTAACCCACTTCTCCAGATGTTCTGGCCTGAGTGTGGGTTGCACAACCTCTGTCCCCTGCCCCCCACTTCCTGGTTTGTGGTCTAAGGCTCCACCACAGGCTGGAAGTGGTGGGCTGAGTGATCCTATTGTGGCCCGCAGGGCGGGCTGGCAGGCTGACCAGGGACAGGAGAAAGTGATGTCATGAAAGAGGAGGGGGCCTGGGGCCTCCTCTGTCCCCAGTGTGCCCTGCTGCTGGGCTGGTAGAGGCTTGTGGGAGGAGGTGAGACTGTCTGTGGAGATGCAGGTGAGGCCTCCCTCCATGCTTTGAAAGGGGTCAGGGCTGGGGTCAGCACTGAGGGGAGCTGCTCTGTGTGTGTGTGTGCGCGCACACACACACACACACTCTCGCCCCTGGCTCAGCCCACACAGGCTGTAGAGGGGCTGGAGCTGCCTCCAGCTGTGGGGGGGGTGTGGCTGTCAGTCACCGGAGCCTTATAAGCCACACTTTGAGAGATGGCATCTCCACTAGCCAGAGACCAGGGGTCTGGTTTGGGCCTCACCACCCCAGAGCACCCTCACACTGGCTCCTTCCTCTCCTCTCTAACGATCTGGGATGAGAGCTTCCAAGCAGGAGCCAGGTCAGAGCCTAGTGAGCACCTACCCACGTCACGCACAAGCACCGTTCCTTTCTCCCTTGGCAGCTTCTTAGCAGGGTGGCTGTTGGCCTCCTGGCTGGCTTCTGCGGTTCTGTGTCTGGTGGGCCATGGGGAATGGTAAGAGTTCCCTTGGGCAGAGAGGGCAGCCACTGGGCAGGCCAAGGGGGTGTGTGTGACTGCACCCTTCCTTCCTAGGGCTGAGCTACCAATGCTGCTGGGCCCAGGTGCATATGGGACCCCCTTGCCAAGCCCTGGGCCATGGGGAGGGGGCAGCTGCCTTAGAAATAGCCCATGACTTCAGGCCTCTGGCTGGCCGGGCCCTTTTTTTCCTTCTCCCCAAATAGCCTGGGGCTGGTCCTGGGCTCAACCCTTCAGCTGTGCTCCTCAGGCAGGGATGGGCCTTCCAAAGCCCAGGGACTGGCTCCCTGGGATGATTACTGTGGCCTGGAAGCTGAGCTGAGGGTTCCAGGGTAGCTGTTAGGGACTCCTTCTTCCGATCAGGGCTCCCACCCTCGCATGTCCTGGAGTGAGGTCCATTAGCCCTGGGGGTGGTCTAGACACCTGGCCAGCCCCAGATGCCTGCCCACCATCTGCAGGTGTGCTAAGCAGTTGCAGCTGGTTTCCTTCGCTCCAGTGTGGATGAAGGGGGAAGAGAGGGGCCCGGGGCTGGTTTTCCATGTAGGGGGGTCCTCCACCCAAGCACAGTGGAAGTCCTTTTACCTGTCACTGGCTGCAGACCGCCTTCTCTGTGGAGGGTGCATGACTTTGAACAAGGCAGCTCCCCTACACTGAAAGTGACTCCTGGGCTGGGGGAGGGGGGGTGTTTCAGCTGTAAGCCAGCCGTGGCTGGTGCTGCTGGCAGCTGGGGATGAGTGTCTGGGTCTCAGAGCAGGTCTGGTGCCAACCCTACAGCATCTACTGCAGGAGGGGACCTGCTGACACCAGATGCCCAGTTGTGGCATGCTTTGGCGGCAAGCCCAGTCCCTGGCTTTCCAGAGAGGACACCACCACTAGCCCTGCCAGCCCAGTCTGGACATCCAGGCCTGGTAGGGCCTGCTTATCCTTGGCAGGGGTCAAGAATGCTAGGCATGGAGACTGTCCTGTCTCTGGCTGTGAGCCTGGCACAGGAGGGGTGGCATGTGCAGGTAACAGGAGCCCTGAGAATTGGCACCGGGGCAGCCTCCCTCTCACCTCGCGTCCCTGAGGCACCAACAGTCATCCGCCCCAATGAAGAGGCTCCCTTCCACCCCTCCAAAGCTTTGTGTCCCTATATGTAAGAATTGTATTGGTATCGTTTGTGTTCATAGAGGGCCCACTATGTGTGGGTGCCACCCTGTCCCATGGTATGGACGAGGATATGGGAAGAGGATTCTGCCCATTGCCCAGGTTTGGGGGCCTACCAGTAAGTGCACACCATCTTCAGTTCAAGTTGTCAACTTTATTTTCCGTGACGCCGAGGACAAGGTCATTGTCTGCAGTGGGGCACTGGATACGGCTTCCTGAGCTTTGGTGGCAACTCAGTTCCAAGAAGGCTGGTGCCATATGGTCCTGGAGAACATGGACCTTGTATCCTCAAGGCCTGAGGACATGTTTGTGGATCTTTCAAGGCCTGAGGGGGCACCCAGTGGAAGAGTTCTTAGGGACTGGTGGCAAGAATGGAGACACCCGTACCCACTACCCAGAGGAAGTCTGGGCCCCTCTGCCAGCTCCTGGATAGCCCTGCCTGTATCCTGCTGTTGGAACAAATACCCCCCATTTCTGGGACTTTCTCTGGGTGTGTCAGCCCACTCAGGGTCAGGAGAGAGGGGTGCTGGGAAGCTGCCACTGTCAGTGTGGGCTGGAAGCAGATGGGCCACCTTGTGTCCAGCTCAGAGTGCAGAGATGAGCCCATCAGGAGTGGTGGTTGAGCTCTGAGACAGAAGAGCAGAGTGGACACCAGAATCGGCGCTGCCACCGCTGCTCAGTGGGTTGGGGAGGGGGTAGGTGCAGCCTGGCTGGCCTCAGGGTGCCTGCTGGGCGAGCAGGGCTTCTGGGGGTGGGGGCCCAGGGGCCCAGGGGCCCAGGGGAGGGTAAGTGCTCTGACCTGACCTGGTGTGGATGTGATGGAGTGTGCGCGCCAGTGTGTAAACACACGCATATGAGTGTGTACCAGTGTGCATGTGCACATGTAAGTGTGTGACAGGGCATGAGCCTGTACCCATGACAGTGTGTAAGTATATAGGTGTGTGCATGGGAGTCTGTGTGTGCAGACAGGTGTGTGAGCGTGTGCGTGTGTACATGAGCGAGTGCCTGAGTGTGTGAGCTTGTGAGTGATCAGAAGCATATGCCCTTGAGTGTGTATGGGGAAATGTGAGTGCTCACGTGGGACTTGGTGGGTGTGGGTTAGTGACTTGTCAGTCGGGTCTTTGGCGGAAGTTGGCATAGGGTTTAAAGGGATCCAGGGACACCCTTCCATCCCCCACCCTCTACACCCCACGTGCCCCTTCCTTCCCACCCCCCCCTCTTCTCAAGCTCAAATCAAAGCAGGACAAGGTCAGGACCCACTGGAGTTCAGGGAGAGGCCGAGG